AGCAGGCAAACACATCCTGCCCTCACCCGCAACCTCATATTCCTCACCCCCATCGTTATCAACCTTATATCCCATCCAGCGTTTCCACAGATTCGGCGCAAAGCCAGCGTGATAGTACCAAGTCGTACCCAAAAAGTTATGTTGACGCTCATCCGAAAAGACAGACATGCGTGCGCCGCCACTCGCGCCGTTGCGGCCGTTGTTGAAAATAGCGGCGAGGTACTGTGTTGGCCATTTGCGGTCTATGAACACGGGATGAGGGGCGTAGACGGCTTTGAGGCCGTGGTGCAGAGCGGCAGATGCGGGCCACATTTCGGAGAACATGGTGTGGCGGTGGCGCGACTGTTCGCGGTGCATAGTTTCGAGGAGGCGGCGGGAGAGGCGACCGGAGGTGTTGATCGCGGTGCGGCGCGGGGGAAGACCATTCTTCTTATCGTAGCCTGTGACGTCGTCGGCGAGGATCCAGTTTGTGTGGTCGGGGTCAAAGAGGGGGTTGAAGACGATGAGGTCGGCGGGTTCGCCAACGCCCCATTCGTACTTGTCTTCTGTGATTGTTGTGTTGGGTTTTACGGACTCGTCAATCTCGATGTCGGGGTAGTCTTGGGGGAGTTCTGGACCCCAGACTGGCTTCTCGGGCTTTTGCATTTCCGCAAGAGGGACGTGGGGATTGGGGGGCAGATGCGAGGACCATTTGTTTGCTTGGTTGTTTGTGCCGTGCTGGGTCTGCCAGTGCACCATCTGCTTGAACTCTTCCCAGGTGCCGTGGACTGATGGGACGTAGAAACGGGCGTCGCGCTCCCACAGTCCTTTGCGCGGCTGGGCAGTCGTCCACTTGGAGACCTGTTCGAAGAGATGGTAGTGGTGGCCAGTATACCGAACGTCCATCTCCCAATGCCAGAAGAAGTCGAACTCGGGGTGCTGGTGTGCAAAGTACGTGACTGGCATGAAGGTGGAGCGATAGACGCCGTGTACAGGCAGGCCGCGGTAGTTGGACTCCTCTAGGCCGCCGTAGATCAAGCCCATCTGACGTTCCGACCAGAGCGTGCCCATACCAGCGAACTCAGCAGGTAGCGCGTTCTTGAGGACTTCCTGGTGGATCGCCTCGTCGGCCCAGATCTGCTTGTTGTCATCGTGAACTTGGATCAGGAAGTGGACTTCGTATTCGCCGCCGGACGCGAGGCTCAACTCGGAGACGAGTGCGCGCAGGTACATGATGTCTTCGTCGTCGTAGTTGTAGTCGTCCCATGTTCGGACGAGGACTGCGGTCCTGGGGAGAAGCGTATTGTGTGCCGCCTTTGGTTGTAGCACGGTAGTGTTTGTGGGAGCATCTTCAGCATCGCGTTTCTGCATGGTAAACGAGTCCGCCCGGGACTTTGGTTGTCTCTGGAAGCGGCCCTTGTTCTTCTCCAAGCAGCGGTCGATTGCCTCCGCCCAGCTGACGTCGCGGAAGTCTACCTCGGCGTCCACCTTCCACACGTCTTCGATGCCTTCGCGGTCGCCCTCCATGCCGGCGCCCGTTCCACCGCGCCTCTTACTGTAGCCGAGGCCATACGGACCGAGCCGTCCGAAGCGCTCAAAACAGACATCGTCCCTTAGACCCAGTGTCTCGTAGCTCCCAATGACGTTATCCGGCATACCCTGGGGAACGCCCTTGTATGCCCGCAGCCCTGGCACCTTGATGGTGTCGTTCGCGTCGAGATAGCACGTCTCGACCGGCCCGTATGTGTCCACGTAGTTGACGCCGCTATAGTCTGGGTACGGGTCGAATGGTATCGATTCGGCAATGTGTGCGCCCTGCGACTGTCGCTTTTCGACGTCGCTCTTGGGCTCCTCCGCGGGCAGCTCAGGGTCGATGTCCTGCTTGGTGGGGTATTCCGGCACGTTCTTCTCCCGGCTCACCAGCGACCGCACGCCGCCGTGGTACCGCTTCAGGAACGGGAAGCTCTCCCAGACGTTGGGCGGCGGCGGCGGCTTGTTCAGGCCGAGCTCTGCATTCCGTATCGAGGCCCAGCTGCTGCTGAAGAGGAAGTACATGAAGAAGAGCAGCGTACTCGCCACGGCTAGCCCAAAGTATCGTGTGCATGCCCGCGGATTCCTATAGCTGTATGCGCTGACGGTGGCTTTCGAAGGGGCTCTCCGGTGGGATTTGGAGGACCGTCGCAGCGGTCTCGATTCGATGTTGTTCGGGTTCGGGTCGTATGCGCCCGAGGATTCCCGGGATGAGGATGGGCTCGTTGTGCCCGAGGACATGTAGGCCTCGTAGTCGTCGCTTTGGTAGCCTTTCTCGTTGACTTCGCCGTCCTCGACATCGCGCTCGTGGGTCGCCGCCTGGTTGTACGACTTGGCTTTCCGCTTGCCCACGGATAGCGGACGGAAGCCTAGCATCTCGATCGGGGACTGGTGTGACGGTGACTATCGCATGTGCGGTGAGGTGACGGCGTTGCGTGAGGTCGGTGCGAGGGAGGCAGCTGGCCAATGAGGTCGTTACGTAAGGAATCAAGAGGGGGATTGGATATATACGTGTCGGAAAAGCGTATCAGTCGTATCAATGCGTAGCGGTGCAGTTGGCGGTGCTGGTGCTGGTGGTGCTAGTATACAAAGTTGCAGCCCGCCCAGGGTGCACGCTCGGAAATCGGAAAGATTGCCGCGCGCACTAAACATGGCGTTGGCGGAACAACCGCTGCTCACCACGGCTACACAGCGCTACACCTCGAACGCCGTCCAGCATCGCCTATCGCATAGGGTTGAATGAGCTCTCATGTGCTTAGTTCATTCAAAATGATTAAGATGCGCATGATGCGACGTCTTCTACAACGACTTCGAGCCACCTCTCCGCGCTCAAATGCTAATACATTACATTACACTACGACCCCCGCATACTCACCTTACAAGGAAACCCATCCACCGGATGCGCAGCCCCCTGCGGCACCTGATACGCCCTCTCGCCAAACACCTCTTTAATCCCCTTTGACGGATTGCGTCGATCCCACTCCTCATACATATCCTTCACATCAAACTCCCTCACCGTCATCGCTAAGGTAATCTTGATATCCAGCATCGCCAGCGTCTGACCCACGCAATTCCTCGGCCCAAATTCAAACGGCCGCCACCCTCCTTTGGGCGGATACAAAGGGTGGCCGGGCTCGACGAGCCAGCGCTCGGGCAGGAAGGCGTGAGGTTCGGGCCAGTAGTGCGGGTTCCGCTGGATCGCGCCGTGGACGACCCAGATGTTGATGTCTTGGGTGGGGTATTTATTTCCGTTTTTGTCGCGGAGGAAAACGCCTGGGAGACCGCCTCGCATGCCTGAAGCGGGTGGGAAGAGGCGGAGCGTCTCCTTGACTACGGCGTTCATATAAGGGAGCTTGTTGATCTGCTCTGGATGCTTCTTGAGCGCACCGGCGGCTGTGTCATTGCCTGCGCCAAAGACTTCGTCGAGCTCTGCACGGGCTTCAGCTAAAGCTTCTGGGTGCTTGGACAGCATGTAGAGACTGTATACGATGGTAGCGGCAGTGGAATCATGTCCCGCGAACAAGAACAGCCGGATCTGAACTGTCGCCCACCGCTTGAACTCAGGGTCGAGCTTTGCGGCTCCTTTGCGCTCGCCCATGTACGCGGCTATCGTGATGTCCATGACAGACTTGGCGCGGGTGGACGGCTTGTTGCTACGCCAATCTTCGTATCGCTTGTCCAGCTCCGTGCTGATGTAGCGATCCATCGTTTTGCCGTTTCGCCATTCGATCCAGGGGCGGTAAGGGTTCCAGCGCTTGAACGGATTCATCTCTTGGTCCCGGCAGTTCCATTCTATGGAGCTGCGCATTGCTGCTGCGAGGGCGTTGTGGCTGGTCATGGAGTGGAGACGTGCGTTGCTGGTTGTGTTAGTACTTGAGACACACGTGATGAGCTGGTGGTATGCTTACATGGTGATGACGCCGATGAGATCCATCATATAATCACAGGTCAATCGATCCAGAGAAAACGTATCCCCTTTCTTCGCATGCTCTCGCAGCAACCCCACGTAGACCTCAGCTTCCTCAATAATATGCGGCGTGCTCTCCATCATAACCCTATCACTAAACCCCGGGTTAAACAGCGCCCTCGACCTCTTCCACTCCGCGCCATTCATATCGAATAGATTCGCACCTCCCGCGAACGGCGCAAAGAACGGGATCAGAATGGGCGGCTTGGGCAGATCGTATTCCTGACACGCTTGCATTGCCATCTCGGGCGACGTGACTATCATGAGCGGACTGGTAAACGGCCACAGATCGACGTAGAAGCAGTTGTCCGAGTCTGGGAAGTCGTTTGCGAGCAGAGTAAAGGCATCGGATTGCTGCGAGCCTTCGGGGAATTGCTTGAGGAGGTCTGGTAATACTCTCATATTTCCGGTCGCGAAGTCCCATGCTGGAACGGGCTTTGAGGGGTGGAATGTTAGCTCATGGGTTGTGGCGTGTTCGGAGAGGGCTGCGTACCATGCCCTGCTTTTTGAGCCTGTAGAAGATCATGCGCATCTTCACCAACTTGAACATGAAGACTGCAATGGCGGCAGTCGCTGCAGATATCGCGATCTGCCATGCTGCGCGCTTCAAGTCTATTGACTCCATTGTACGCTGCCTCTGGGTTGATGTTGTGTCCCTCCGGCACACTTCGGGGCGTAAAAGTCGAGAGCTTGTCGCTACGTTCCTAGCGATCACCACGGGTCGTATATCATGTCGAAGTCAAACACGAATGGAGAGAATATGGGTATATTGATGTCACGTTTCGCAACGGCCTGGCAATCGCTTTTGTAGCCCGTCGCAATCGTAGCCATATCGGTGGTCGCGCGGTGCTACTTGGCTAGCGCTCACCGCGATGGAGCGAAAACCAACGGGGCGTAGCGGCCCAGGCTGCCACCGGCTGTTCTTGCGCTACTGGCTATCAATCACAACGCTCCGCATCCTTCGCTGCATCCCTCGCGGGGTGCCTTGCAGACGAGGCCACCAGCCCTACGAAAAACTTCCTCGCTAATGCCTGTCTATGCTTGATTTCACTTCCGCCCATTTCTTCACCACCGCTTCCTTCTCAACATCGCTCGCACCACGAAACGCGACAGCAGATCGGCGCAGCTGTATAAAGAAAATCTCCGCCTGCAGCGCAGTGAGATGCCGCGCCAAGAGGCCCCTCTCGACGCCTTTCAAGAAATATCCTGGCAGGCCAAATACCGCTGACAGTAGTGTTAGATAAGCGGATAAGCGGAATATTCGGAACCCGAACTTACCGGCTCCTAAATGGAGATATAGCCCAGCTAGACCTCGCCCAATTCCTTTGCCAAAGCCCATGGCGCCTTCTTGTTTCGCGCCGAGATAGGGGTGTCGAACTATGCCTACGAGTGCGTCGCTGAGGCCGAGCACGAATTCTTTGCCGGCGAGTTTGCAGCCGCTGCCGAAGCCGGTGATTTCGTCTCTTTGTCGCGCGGGGTCGTTGTGGATTGCGTATGAGGGTAGGTTCCGGAAGCCGTTGGCGATGTTGTAGAAGAAGGCGACTGGGGTTTTGGCTCCTGTAGCCGCGAGATCACCAACGTAATGCGCGGTAGCGCTTGTGATTTGGTAGCCACGGCCTCCTCTTGCTCTCCTCGCAGCGATCTTCTCGCGAAGAGCTGATATACCCGGGCGGTTCTGCGGCTTCTCGAAGTTGTGCGTGTAGTCGTCATCGCATGACTTCGCTGCCATTCTGTACGCCAAGTGATGGAAGTGTTTGGACGTGATGCCCTTTTCCAAGTCTGGCTCATCAACAGTCGGCACTCTTTTCAAGGCTTCTACGTCGGCCTCAGTCTCGCGTGGTCTTTTCTTCAGCCGCTGCGAGAACTCAGCTGTATCGGTACCCAAAGAGGACATGAGCCCTCCGAAAGCAGCGACAACACCTGTCAAAGGTCCTTCAGCGCCTTCATGGGTATAGTAATGCCGATGTTGCAGCAAACGCAGATGCTTCAAATCCAACAGTCTTTCTTGGACAAGCACGGAGGCTGCAAAGCCACTGAGATGTGCGCCAGTCTCTTTGTCACGCCAGATAGCTAGGCGATCCGGACAGATATGACATCGTATTCCATCAATGCCAAGTTTCTGCTGAAAGTCGCGTACAGTATCTCCGGCACCATCTTCCTCTGCAATACTTTCTGCCATCTTCTGAACTGCGACTTTGACAGAATCTTGCAGCGCAAAGGTAATGCTTGTCGCAAGGCTCTCGGCAGTCATCTGCTTGAACGGGATGGGCATTGGACCAGCTCCAGCCTTTGCGATCATCTATCGTATTGTTAGGTCGGCTCAGTCGTGTCTCAACGCTGACTTACCTGTCCCCAGAAGGGTTGGTCACCGAAGAAGGGCACAACAACCGTAGGCCTACCCAAGGCAATACCAGCAGCCGTTGTACCCGCACCTCCGTGATGAACCACACACGAAACCCGTTGGAAGAGCCAATCGTGCGGACAATTGCCAATGAGATACACATCATCCGGCACATCACCCGCACCCACGCCGCCCCAGCCCTTGGAGACTATAGCTCTGACTTTTGCTAGCTTCACGGCGGCAAAGATGAGTTTGGTGAGAGCCACTGGATCATCTACCACTATGCTGCCAAAGCCGATGTACACCGGAGGAGGGCCTTTCGCAAAAAACTCAGCCAGGTCGTCCGGCGGCGTGTAATTCGATCCAGCATCCAGGAATGAGAAACCGGTAATGCTGATATGTGAGTCCCAGTCAGCTGGCCGCGGGATCAAAGCCTGTGACCATAGGTAACTATATGGGACGCGAAGTCTCGAAAGCAAGAGATGACCCCAGAGCGGGCTAATAGCGTCTAGGTGCAAGGTCTGCGTCCTGAACTTGTTGATGACATCGCCTAAACCCTGCCAAGTGAGCAGCTCCATGATGCCGAAGCTGAAGTAGTTTGCGACGGACCTCTCAACTTCGCCATACTCCATGGCTGCCAGCGGGTGGTGGAAAGCTTTTGTTGGCGACCACGGCATAGTGAAGACCATGTGCAGCGGGATGCCAAGCTTCTCCGCGCAGTGAATGTGGCCCATGGACGGCGGGTTCGCAATGATGCAATCTGCGATGAACAAATCCTCAGGCGCGTCTACGTCTAACGCTGAGACTCTCTGGCCCATGCCATCACCCGCCTCGATGCAACTCCTCCAGGTCCCCTCCATCATCTCGGCCATCTCTTTTCGTCGCTTGCCAATGTCCCCGGCTTTGATGGACTGCATATTTGGAATCAGCCCTGGATTCTTCACCATGTACGCCATGAGTGCTTCGGGGTCGCCTCCGATGGAAAAGAACTCCACCCCGTTGCTTTCCACAAAGTCCTTGAAGGCGGGATGCGTGCAGATGCGAACTCGGTGGTGATGTGGCGCAGCCTGGAGCAGCTTCGCAATCGGAATGAAAGGCTGCACATCGCCGCGAGACCCGCATATATGTATCGCGATCCCCGGAGGACAGGGATTAACTATGTTTCTAATAGCTTACGTTATTACTATTATTATGTAATCTTATGTTAGACTTATTTAAAATAACAATACAATAATATAGCTGCTAATATAACGTTAGGCTGCTAAGACTTAAAAAAACTTCTACCTTTTTCTAACGCAATAGTATAGCAACCTAATACTAACCTCTACTTATAACTACTGCTGCCTACTATTTCTATATATCTTTTCTATCTATTGCTACGTCTATATAGTGTTAACTATATCTAGAAGCTACTGCGTCTACGCCTTATACTCTACGCTAGCATTCTTAAGAAAGACTTGCTAGTACTACTATAGTAGCTAGCCTAAATAGAGACGCACTCTTATCTAGCGTAGCTTATAGAACTACTTATTAATAAAAAGTAGCTTAGTAGTAGTAGCTACCTCTCTTATTAGTTGTATAGCTACTATAGAAATAATAATAAAGCGTATTACCTATGTACTAAAGTTTAAGTTCTTAGTAGTGTATAAGCTATAATAGTTAGAGTAAAGAAGATTAGTATTCTTTAGTAGCTTATACGCTATATTAAAGTACTAGCTAAGTAGCGTAAGAAGATTAATAGAGACGTTTTTAAACTAAGTATACTCTGCTAACGCTATAGATATGCCTTTGTTACCTATATTAATGTAGGCTCTTAATTCTTGCGTAGTAGTAATACTACTAAGAAGCCTTAGTATAAGCTATGTGCTCTTAAGAAAAGATAACATAGTTATAGTAATATTTAATTATTGTAATTAGTTGTTTAGTTAGTTATTTAGTTATTTAGTCGCAATTATTTAGATTTTAGAGATAATAGTATAAGTGTATAAAAAGACTTCTTTATGCAGCTTTTAAGTGCCTTACTTACACCTAATAAGCTGCTACTATAGGTTAGTTACTAAATACAAAACCTAGCTAATTATTATATCTCTAGTTTAAATTTCTATAGTACTACTATATAATACTTACTTAATAATCTAAAGTCTACCTAGCGTCTTTACAGCCTTATATTACTACCTTAGTTAGTCTTTGCTATAAGCTTATATTTTAATAAAGTTTATAAATTGTGTACTATATTGCTAATCTATTAAGTAAAAAGGGCAGAGTATAGCTCTTTATTATGTATTATACTGCGTTACTACTACTGCGTTGTAGGATCTGCTCCGGCATCGACTCTATTCATCCATCAGGAATATGTATCGCGATGTTCAGTCGCGGTGCGCCGATACTGCTGGTCTTGTCGCTGATGAACTCATCCACCAGAGTTGTGCTGCCTCTTCGCGGTTTTGCGCATCCCGGTGGTCGGCATGCCGCGGAATCTTTCTGGAGCTTGTCGAACCAGTATTTCAGATGCGTCGTGTTCCTGTGGAATTGTATAGCGACCTGGCCGAACGTGTTGACTCTTCCGGTACTTTGCGCTTTCCCGTCATGGTACTCGCCGCGCTTCTGTTTGGAGTTGAAGTTGAGAGGCATTGCGATACCGGCTGCACGCGGAAGCTACATCGGGCTCCCGATGGATTATAGGAAGATTAGACGAATGACGGGCATCAACATGCTTCAACTTTTGGTCTTGGTACGAGTAATCAGTCTTTCCGGGTTGCCTCTAGCGCACGCTTACACCTCTTACTCGATCGGCTCGCAATCTGCAGGCCGCGGATCTTCTGCGGCGAAGCGGGCCAATCCACGGCGTGTTGCCTATGCCGCGCCGCCGATCATCCGCGCCCAACGAACTTTCGCACGAACAGATTGTGCTCGGCCGTGTCTATCTCGATAGTCTGGACCGGAATCTCAGGACTTTGCGTTGCGGCGCCATGATCGTCCGTGTTGTTACGCCTATCACAGTTGGACCGAGGGCCGCATACATAGGCGTCACCGTCTCTACTCCCGAGTAGCTCAACGGCGTGACACCGAGCGCAGGTTCAGTGACATGTGAAGTAGAAGCACCCACGCCATCATTACCCTCGACTTGGACGTCCGAATTTGCTTTCGCATACGACGACGGCTGCGCATACACATCCAGCCATGGCCGACGATCAAGAGAAGGGCATCATTGGGCGGGCGCGCGGCATGTCGCTGTCGTTGCTGCACACGACACCGCAGCTGGGCATGTGGCAGGCCACGGCGACGGCAATGGCTCAAGCGCCCAACTTGACAGAGTTACGAGAGCCAGAGTCTGGAGGGTCAAACATCACGTTCGATGCGCATGGCCATGCCACTCGAGTAGCGGTTCCAGACGAAGACGGAGAGCTCACCTTGGTTAAATCCCAGACTAGGATCCTTGACCAGCCAGCTGCAGACGCGATTGTACCGGGTGAGGTAGACGAGAAGACTGGGAAGAAGTCGCGCAGGCCTCATGGACATGGACTTCACCGTCGACGGACGTTGAAGGAGAAGCACGCGTCTCCCGACAAGGAGCCATGGGGCCCTACCATCAAGCACGGTCTGAAAGCCTTTTGGGTCTTCTTCCTCACCCCCTCCGGCTTTCTAATCACCATCTACGGTCTCAACATCGTCGTACGTACACACTCATCCCATTGACCCCTCCTCTTACTAACACCCCAAGGCCTGGGGCGCAATGCTCTTCTTCCTTCTCCTCAACGCCGCGCCCGCCATGTGCCACCCCAGCTGCAACGACGACTACAGCTCCCGCAAAATCTGGCTCGAAATCGACAGCCAGATCCTCAACGCCCTCTTCTGCGTCACGGGCTTCGGCCTCGCACCCTGGCGCTTCCGCGACTTCTACTGGATGTTGCGTGCCGTCCACTTCCACGACTCAAACGCCATGCGCCGGCTCTGGAACCAGAATAAAGCTTGGTTCCGACCGCCGAGCTGGTTCACGGAGAATGAGGGCTGGAGGGGCGAGGATGAGTTGATGCCGCAGACTTTTACGGGGGAGAGGGCGCCGCCGACGGGGATGTGGAAATTGGCGTTTACGGTTGATATGATGGTTTTGAATACGCTGTTGCAGGCTGTGCTTTGTTTCTTCATGTGGCATTATGATCGGTTGGATCGCCCGACTTGGGCGACGGGCACGTTTATTGCGCTGGGGTGTGGGGTTGCGATGTTTGCGGGAATTATGTCGTGGTGGGAGGGGAGGAAGGTTAAGAAGATTGAGGGGCCTGAGATTAAGGTTGAGTCGAAAGCTGCGGATGTGGAGAGTGGGTAGGGCGAGAGATTCGCTTGTCTGCGCCATGTAATTATCGCGTTTGTCGACTCCAGTCCATATTGGCCGCAAGTTTCTGGTGTTGGCGGTACTTCTCCTTTGAAACCACCTAATTGGGTTGGCGTCATGTGGATTTTGGAAGTCGTGAGTCCCTCGTCCGCTTCACGCCACCGCAGTACTGCAATTCGGCCGCATCTCCACTCCGCCTCCACATCAAGCTCATCCGTCACCGATGACAATACCAGCCTTGAGTCTCAGCCTCGCTTCGATGATGTAGGTGGTGCAGCATGGCTGAGTACTCTCTGTCACGAAGCTGCTTACCGGTGCGGGGCACCTACATGCGCGTTGCATGCGACCTGTCACGCCCAATGGAATCAGCGCACATATCTCAGCCTTGGGGGCGAAGCAGCAGGACGGCGACAAGAGGCTCTCAAGCCCAGGCTGAAATGTTGTTACATGTTGCGCACAATTCCCACAGCCTGGCGCAATTTTCACATCGGTTACCACCCACACTGAGCAGCACCTGATATCTATACCTCTGACGCTGGTTCTGGTACCGGACACAGAGCTGTATCGCTATGGCAGAGGTCATCGGTCTGGTAGCATCTCTCATCACCCTGGCCGGCGCGAGTGCGCAGCTAGCCAGGACGCTGCTTGACGTCGCTAATGTCATCAAATCCGCAGAGTACGAAGCTAGGCTCATTGCTGCAGACATCAATGTATTCTCAAGCTCTCTCACACAGTTGAGTATGGTTGTGGACACCCCAAACATCAAGACGGAAAAGCTTCGCGAAATTACCGTCGTCTTGATCGCTGCATGCAAAACACTCATAGAGGATCTAAAGATGCTCATCGGAGAGCCGGTTCAGCACGACCCTGCAAGACGCGCTTTCACCATATCGATGGTACGATTCCGTTTCAGATGGATGAAAGTCGGGCCTAAGGTCATGTTTGTCAAGAGCCTGATCGACTCTTTCAAAACCACTATCATCGTCCTTGTCTCCACGATGAACTTAGCCGTTGTGCTGGAGCGGAATGCCCCCGAGTCTATAAGGTACACTACCAAAGATCGCAAACATAGCATTATGGCTAACGTACTTATAGCGAGTGTCTAAAGACGCAAGTTGAGAGCAACATCAAATTTGCGGAAGACGCTACGGAGTGTCTGCACTATCACACCACTGTTCAGCAAGACGAGGTTCCATCTTTCACGCCTACTGTGGATTCCAGCGCTGCGACACAACTTGAGGACGCGGCACAAGGTGCTGGGAGAGAGTTAATTGTGTCTAGGTTGCGGCCTTCCGACGAGCGAAGACTAGCAGTACACGACGCAACACTCCTCACTGACCCAGACTTTGAGCCTGATGATTTCGCCCTCCAGATCTTCCGCGACTGTACACAAGCAATCGAACTGCAGCAGATGTCTAGCGCGTTAGCCAAGGATGTGCTGGGTTATACTAGCCGAAAAGCGGCATGGAACTGGAATGCCTCCGGAAGCTCTTCTGTACACGAGCGCGCAGACTCAGTTAGTGACGCCGTCGACCCCGTAAGCCATTCCGAGCTCTACAGTTCTCCAGAGCCTGGCCTAGCAACAGAAGAGTACCGCAATTCGCCCCCCTCGACCCGATCGCCGCCCATGATAGAGAGATCTCTTCCACCAGGCCGAGATAGCTCTCCTCCACCGGATCGAGACAGACCTCTTCCACCACATCGAGACAGACCTCTTCCACCACATCGAGAAAGATCTCTTCCACCACGTCGAGAGAGATCTCTTCTACATCGTCGAGGAATAATGCACTATACTGCAAGCGAATGTGAGTCGTCCTCGTCTGATACCGGCGCAAATGCAAAAACATCTTCCGAGTGGGAAACCCCAAGTCCGCTACGCGACGATGTACCACGACAACGCAGGGCTGCACCTGAAGAGTCAACCCCCCCTAAGCGTGAATCTCGATCAACGGCGAGGAAGGCCAACCGCTCGACAATAAATGCGGGAGCTCGCCGGCAGAAACCCTCTAGGTATAAGGATGAAGAGACGGCGCGTTATGATAATCAACAGGAACGCAATCCGCGCAGTCGTAGCTATGAAGTTGACAGACTGGCGAATCTTGAAAAATTGATTTTAGGTCAGAAAGATGAGCAGCTCAAGAGGGAAGCTGCTGCGGATGCGGTACGCTATGCAGAGCGACAAGCAGCCGACATGAAAGATGCAAAGATAGCTGAGGAGAAGAAAGCAGCGAGTGAGAAAGCAAAGCTCATGTTAGAGGCTGCGCAAAGGGCCAGAGAGGCGGCTGAAGAGAAGGCAGCAGAGGAGCAGAAGTCTATAGAAGCCGCTCATGCGAGAGCCCTACAGGACGCGAAAGAAGCGGCGCAAGAATTAGAGAAAGCAAAGATACGTGCACCAAAGACGAGTGCGCCCATTATCTTCCATGATCCCGTCGGTCGTAAGTTCGAAGGCCCCTGGCGTTTGTGTAGCACGTGGAAGGTAAGCAATATCCCAAGCTTCGTAGAGGTACTTGGACTAATTGATGCAGGGGATGGAAGAATTCCTCCAGGAGATCTGTGCTGGATCAACAGAGGTCCTCAGGCTAAAGATCAGCGGACAGTACGACCTTGTCAGAGGCGACGACGTCATCATCCTGCAGGGGTTGTGGGACAGCATGGTTGTTCCTGGATCATCAATAACGATGCGCGCCAGGACTTCAGCCGAGAAGAAAGTTCCGTGGTTTCGTAGGTCAGTAGGAAAGGGAAGTGGCTAATATAAGGTCGAAATGTCATACTACATATAGCTATCACAGTGGGCGCCCTGGCAACAACACTCTTACATACAGACTACTACTACTAATATTGCGTTTATCCCAGCTCGTGAACCTAACCACGTGCGTTACGACTATCGCGTCCTTTGCTGCGTCTTCGCCGTCACCATCGACTTCAAGCGAAGGATGCGTCTGCCTACAGCGCATTGCCCCCCTAGCAATCTCCGTCGATTGCGCCCACACAAAGCGGGAAACAATACCCACTGCATAGGCGTTAACAATGATCGGTATCTCATACCTGCGATATATCCCCTTCGTGAAAGCATCTGCTTCTGTGGCTTGTTGATGTTGCGCAAACACCAAATGCCCTGTTCCGCTCCACCTTTCCGATGTACCTGCAAGTTACGTTTCCTGCTCCCCAATCGCAACCTCCCAGCCCACCCTCTCCAAATCCCCCAACACCAGCTCCTCAAACGCTCTACTAGCCATAGAGTGAGGCGTACTAGCCGGAACCAAATCCTTAAGCTGAAAAGCTTTCGTGTCCGCCATATTCCGTAACCAACTCACCTGCAGCGCCTTCTTCCCTTCACCATGCTTCGCCATAGCCAGCAGTTCCAGAATCGAGGCCGATATACCATGGTTGATAACGTCAAGGCATATTTCGTATCCCACATCGAGCAATACGCGGCGTGCCTGGAGGATATTCGGGAAGGCGTATGCCGACTCGTAGATCTTGCGCCGTGGAACAATATGCGCGCATGTGTGATAGTAGTAACGCTCAGGCCGCGGAGCCCGCGCGAACTGTGTATAGCGATAGAATTGCTCCGTAGACTCCGAGAAGATCTGCTGGCTAGTCCATATCCATGCGTACTCTTGCGCGTGTCTAGGTCCCTTGCAGGTGTCTGCGTCCTCTAGTATTGCAAGATCCCATGGCGGTAGCTGTATCAGGCTAGCTATGTATGTGCCAGTAGACGAATACTCAGCCGTAATGATAGGGCCGGAGGGGATAGTATCGCGCTCCGCGAAGTTCCAGGTTAGCTCTTGGTAGAAGGGGATTATCGTGCCGCTCCAGGCGTGGTGGTAAATTAAGTCGCGGATCTCTCTCGGCAGGCGGAAGAAGCGGCCAAGGAGCTCTGTGTGGTGCTTTTTGGCTTTTTCCTTCGATCTTGCTGCTTTGCGCCTTTCGTATGGAAGCAAGGCCTCGATGAGGGCTGGTCGTTCTTCCTCGATCTTTTTGCTCAGATCGGCCGCGCGGTAATGAGCCTTGTATGCATTCTCCCTTGCGCGTGCGAGCAGTCGGTCGAGATGGGCTATGCGGTTTCTTATGGCTCTTCTTTCGAACTTTTCGAAGCGTCGTGCGGCTTTACGCTGCTCTCGTGTGGGGGTCTGGTCGACGGCTAGCATCGCTTGCTCATCGGTCTGTTGTTCTAGCTCATGTTCATTCATCGTAGCGAGTGTTGTGAGGATAGATAATATGCGCGATGGACGAATATATTGAGTGCAAAGCTTTTCAAGGAGATGGACGACTGCGACGTTCGCTACCAAACACGCGATACCTACATCTGTTCCATGGTTCACGTATGGCCCATAGGTAAGGCCAACCAACCATGAGTCTGATAATTGCGATCTCTCTCATTTGAGAGGTACCTTCGCGAATAGGATGGTGATGTAATGCGGGAATCGTGAGTGGCTCATCGCTCGATCTGCGTCGTCGCGGTACCAGTAGATGGGGTGGATAACAGAGAGCCAACCGTAACTAGCATTGCCTAATATAACGAGGGAGCATAAGACAGGAAGGGAAAGAAAATGCATGGAGGTTCAATTCCAAGAAAGGACACCGTTTTGTACCTCATCCTGGCCGTCGTTCCCCTACCTCTCCTCAAAAAGCAGATCTTCCACCAAAGTGGGTTCATAAGACCAGTCCAGTTTACCGCGCACATCCCACTTGTCTCCACGCGTCCCTCCGGCACGCCCATTCAGTCTAAGTTGCAGTTTCGAGTACATCATATATGGCTGGCAACGATCCGAAGCCCCCTCTCGCGAGAGATGAAGAGTAAGCCACTGGAAAGCACCTTGCCCGGACCCCAAAAGACGATCTGCAATACCGGTCGCAGATGCGATAGTACTCTCTTTGTTGAGTTCGGGGTGGGGGATGTTGCCCCAGATATCCTGTACGAGCTTTTCGCTGTAGTCATTTGCTTCGTGGGGAATGTGCAGCCAGAGATCAAGCTTCGTAAGATTCATCCCTACCAGGGCGACGAGATGTTGCGGATCGATCTGGTGGTACGGTCAGCGAAACTATAATTTGGTCCGGGTGAGCGTGGCTTACGTTGCGTTCGCAGGGTGCGTCCCAGCCTAGATGCTTGAGCCTAGGGAATGTCCGCGCGATGTCCTTCAAACGGCTGAAGGGCATAACAACCTTTTGACAGTATGCTTCGAATGTCGGCCCAAGGATCAGTGTCTCGAGTGTATCCTTGTGCTGCTTAATAGCGGGCCAAAGATCGTCTATACCCGCTTGCGCTCGTGACAGATCGAGATGTTCAAGTGCATCGATCGACTCGATGAACCGCTTCGCAGGCGTTGTATCTCCCTCCCATATCCCAAAACTCAGCACTTTTAGCTTGGGACAAAGCCCCGTGAAGCAGGTAAAGAAGTTCTCGGGATGTTCGCCACCGAAGTCAAGCTTTCGCAGTCGGGAACAGTCGATAGCATCGCGAAACATGCGACAGTAGTCGGAATCCCAAAGATACGATGTCTGGCCATGGTATCTCAAGGTCTGAAGAGTCATCTCCTCCAGTAGAGGGAGGCGCATACCGGTGGTGAGATCAAGGCGCGGTATCTTCGCTGGCTCCGTATCGGGTGTAAAAAAGTTGTGACCGTCTTGCAAAACTTGTAGCCGAAGAGATCTAACGTTCCCGCCAGCCGCCAGTGCCTGGGAGAGTCGAGGCCACTCGGATCGACAAGGGTGCTCGGGAGCGAAGCCTTGCATGTATACCTCGTAGGTCAAGCTGACAAGAAGCGGAGATGACAAGAGCTTCATGTCCATCTGACGATGGGGAATGGTCTTTGCCATTTTCCGGTCCACGACAACAACGCGTATCTCGGGCTTTGGCCCAATCGCGTGGATGATGTCGTATACTGCCGGAGGTATGTGCGCGGAGGTCTCCCAACTACGAGTGTCAGTTTCAGTATCTTGAAGCGGTCGAAGTTCCATACTTGAGTGATCGAAGATTGCTGTGCTGCATAGTCTTGTTGAGTAACGTAATCAGGTCTGCAGAGGGTACCTCGTCTTTGACGGTGATGCTGCGAATATGCTTCGTAAGGTCACCGTGCTCATTCTTGGAGAGCTTCTCCACAAGTGCCTTGTATGCAGTTGATTCTCCGTTCAGGATGATGTTGCGGTATATGTAGGGCATTGCTACATCGTGCAAGACCTCGGAAGATTGCGCCACATTCAATAGATCTGCGGGCGATGTGTCCACGATATCGGAGAGAATGAGATGGTGAATGTCATCCGGGACGACGTTCAGGTTGATCGTCTGGCCCGCAACGCCCTGCGATGAAGCAGGAGCGGCGGTGTTATCGACGAGAGCGTTGCGAAGTGACATTGTAACAAAGATACTTAACCAGAATACTAGCATGATAGTCAATCTGACTAGAGACGCAAGACATCTTTATACCGTACAGCCGTGCAGGCAGAACTGTAAAGCAGGCGCAGCAAGCGACGCGGTGCCAACAGGACCGAAAGCCATCACGACAACACGAGATTCTGAGTCTGCCTGAGGCACCTCCACAATGGGCGGTGAGATAAACATCTCGTAGCCCAGTCCAGAATCAAGATCCTACCAAGGACATTTTGGAAGCGTTATCAGATACTGTTGGTGAACCAGGAACAGCGCCAGCCTCGCTTTCATGGGGCTGAAGAGATTGGAGTCCACTGCCACGACTGCGCCACGATGGGGGGTCGCTTCGTGATGTGTTCGCATATTACAAGGCATGGCGATGAGTCCTGAGCGATGGCGCGGATGATCGTAGGCAAGTTCGATATCTATCCGATGCGCGATGCTGGTAAATGCTGAGTAGTTGCGGCGGCGATTGTGGTGTGGCAGAGGTGCTCAAGTGGTACCAGCGATGACGCACTAGCACGTGACTGGCCAGCGCGGGTGGTCGGGCCTCCCTTCCGCTGCTGCCTAGTCAGTCCATCACCACCTCAACAACATCACCACGAAACAACACCGACACACCTTGAATCGAAAATTGCCAGAGCCGTCGCTCATCCTCGTCATGACCCCTTGGAAACATTGCAATTGCAAAATGATCACGAGCGCACAACTAAGGCGCTCAACCGCCTCGTTGCCGACGCACCGGCGCTGAATTGTTGACAATCGGTCTGTGGAATTGTACTTACGATGCAAAGGCGTCGGAAGTGAGTCATGATCACGCGTACAGCTGTTCTAAGCACCCTGCTAACATACCCATAGAAAAGCGAGTCAATGCCATCGCTGCCCTTGCATCCAAAGCGGCAGAATTGCGAACCAACCTCGACGAATTGTCGACGCTGGAAACCTTGCAATCGAAATCGCAAAACGATAAATCCGAATTGGAAGCGTCGCGAAACCGTCGGCATTCATGGCATGCTGCGGCGGCCCCACGCGACTTCGACCTCAACCATGATCCTCGAACCGAATTGGTTGAACCAAATCGAATGATACGAATCGACATGAATCGAATTGAGTGGACTAAATTGATTGAACCAAATCGCATGGACCTCGAATTGATAAAACCAAATCGACATGAACCAAGTCGAATGACCCGAAATGATTGACCCGAATCGACACGACAATCGCATCTCCGCCTTCCACCGCGGCTATTGAACCTCGAAGTAAGCACAAAACCCCAGGACACTTCCTCAAACCAGCGATGCTAACCCCCCAGATAGGAAATGGAAAATTGGGCTATTGCAGACGCCGAAATGGCAAGCGGCTCGTATGGCTGTGGACAGCGGCGAGCATGATTTTACTGCGTTCTATCGTGGTCTTTATCACGGTGCACTTTTCTTTTCGCGTTCTATCGTGGTCTCCATCATGGTGCACTCTTGCTTCATTTCCTATCAGATTCACATCTGGTGCACTCCGTTCTATCGTGGTCTTTATCACGGTGCACTTCCGTTTCGCGTTCTATCGTGGTCTCCATCATGGTGCATCTTTCTTTCGCGTTCTATCAGGTGTCAATCTGGTGCACTTCTCTTTCCGCGTCATATCTCGAAGTTTCAACTCCGAGGTGCATCCCTGCTTTTCTACCATGGTGCTTTTACCATTGTGCACTGTAGGTAGATTTATATAGCGACCACTCGTACATTGAATGGAAGTTAGACGTACAAATCGGGCTGTTCGATGTTCTTCATTTCATGACTTTTCGTACATATGGACCTATGCCGTCAGTACTACCGCGGGGACAAAGCAATAGTATACAGCGCTTCACGAAAGACTGAAAGCGCTCGCTCGCTCACGAGTATATCAATCCCCTGCTCACTTTGTCTCTCATCACGCCCCTCGCAGACCCCGAACCTATCTTCTTCCCTAAAACGCTGGTCCCAGAGCGTCATGTCGCGCGATGTCGCGCTTACTGCGTTAGCAGTGGCATGTCACTAGAACGCCAAACTCCATGCAGTGTGCCTTTTATCCCATTCATGCCTCCTGCTCTCTTTGTTGCCTACCCTTGCCGCCACCTCGTCGGTCGCCGCCCTTGCCCCTGTTGTCGCCGTCCTTCTTGCCGTCGCCGGCGAGAGGGTCGCCGCCGCCCATGGTGAGCGCAGCGGTCGCGAGACGGTTCGAGAGGTCGATTTGTGTGCGGATGGTGTTGGCGAGGTATGATACGACGAGGACGTCTTGGATGTGTGCGTTGCTGTGATTGTTAGCATATGTCTGGAAGTATGGATGATTCTGACGTACAAGTCGCGCTCAATGTCTGCGGGCTCGACCTTGGGTGCCAGGCTGAGTGCGTTCATCAGGAACTGGCCCAGCGCGGAGGATGGCTCGGCCTCCTCGTCCAGCACGTTGTTGACGTAGTTGGAGACGCGCTCGAGCATGTCCAGGACGTGTGTGATGGCCGTCTCCAGCGAGTCGAGGTCGGTCATGACATCCTGCGACCGGTCCTCGCGGTCCTTGGCGGAGGAGATGAGCTCCAGGCCTGACCGCTCGGCCTCGCCGTACTTGATCTCGTGGGGCACGGGGATGAAGAGGCACGAGTCGGCGGCGCGCTCGGCGGTGACGCCAATGGGGGCGGAGATGTACGTCTTGGACTCGATCTCCTGGCCGGGGACGGTGGAGACAGTCAGGTGGACGGCGGGGTGGGGCCATGTGCCGTCGCCCTGCTGGCTGTAGAAGTTCTGGATGAGGGCGGAGAAGGTGTTGAGGTCGCTGCTGGTGGCGTACCAGCCGACGAGGACCTCGCGGGGGTTGGCGCGCAGGTGCAGGGCGAGCATCTGCTTCTGGTAGTCCATGTCGACCTCGACCTGTTCTTGCGTCTCGGTGTGGGGGACGGCATAGCAGTTGCGGATCTCGATCTCGGTGCCGTCTTCGCTGCGGGTGCCGAGGAGGGTGCCGATGACGCGCTCTTGCTCGGCGGGGCGGCGGAGGGAGTGGTCGAGGATGGAGAAGACGGCCTAGCAGATGGTGTCAGAGAGTAGAGCAGGCAGCCTCGACCGTGGCTTGTCGCATACCTGGGGCTGGATGGCGACGTTCAGCGGGGCAGTCGACGGCTGCGTGCCCATGGACGCGGGGCCGAGCGGGCGCGCCAGATGCAGGAAGGAGTCGTTCTCGGCCATGGTGGCGGTTGTGATGGCGATAGGTTCTTGTTTGGTGGGCGTGGTGTTGAGGCGCTCGGGACGTCAAATGTGGTTGGTGGGGCACGCAGCGATATTCTTCACGAAATCTGGGCAGGGTGCGTTCGCTTGCACGGACCATCTGAACTTTTTCGCGGCGCGGAGTTAACCTACGAAGTATCTCAGTGGGACGATTCTACCTCCCACATCCATATACTTCACTTCTCTCCCTGCGCAAGAGGTGGTCGCAACTTCTACCCACCTTCACTACTCATTGCGAAAAGACCCGCACCTTGCATCAAGCTCCCTTCACATCGGCGCATACACCGCGCATACACCGCGCAACCGACATGGCGCCAATGAGAGGACGAGGCGGCTCTCGTGGAGGAGCAAGGGGCGGCAGTAGAGGCGGCAGAGGCGGCGGAATGGGAAGGGGCAGAGGCGGCATGAGAGGTCGTGGAAGAGGCGGATTTGCCGCAGCGAGAACACGAGACGAGGTCGAAGATTCGTGAGTACGGATATTGGTCGCGGGCGCATACGTCCAATCCTAACAGTACCAGAAACATGCCCATGCGCGAACCCACCCCATCCGACGAGAGCGAATCCGACGTATCAGAAGACGATGCCTCGGACGAAGAGGAAGAAGAAGCGCAACCCATCTCGAACGCCTATGCGACTCTTCTGCAGTCTTTCTCGTCGCGCAATACTGGCTCGGAAGAGCATCGCAAGAAGAGGCGGAAGCTGGAGCACGACGAGCCTGAGCAGGAGGTTGAAGTAGACGACGACGCTGAATCTACCACACTGGAAGGCGACGAGGCGGAGGACGAGCAGGCAGATGTTGATAACGAAGAAGACGTGGACGATGACGACCAGGAAGAGCAAGAGCTCGAGCAGGCCTACCAGAAGCACTTTGCGAACCCCGACGAGAATGAACTAGCGGCGCGACTCAAGCGGATAGCTGCCAACCAGTGGACATCACAGAAACTGGATCGAGCATCTGGGAAGGGAGTAGGCATACTGCAGGTTCCCAGCGACGAGGTCAAGCCGAATCGGAAGCTAAGAAGCGTACGCGACGTCCAGTTGAAAGCGCGGCTTGTAGACAACGCACAGAAAAAGGTCGGCGCTTTCGATGAGCTAGAACAAGCCATCGCACCCTCTATCTTCGGCTACCAAGACCTCCTCTTCGGCGCAAGAACAGTCCAAAACGCCAGCCGTCTCCGCGACATAACCTGTCTGCACGCCCTAAACCACATCCTCACGACCCGCGACCGCGTCCTCAAGAACAACGCCAAGCTATCCACATCCAAAGACTCCTCCGACCCCTCCATCGAATACCGCGACCAAGGTTTCACACGCCCCAAAATCCTCTTTTTGCTCGAAACAAAACAAGCCTGCGTCCGCGTCCTCGACTCCCTAACCTCCCTCCACGCCTTCGAGCAGCAAGAAAACAAAAAACGCTTCCTCGACTCCTTCTCCCTGCCAGAAGACAAGTTCTCACCGGACCGCCCCGCCGACTTCCGCGAACTCTTCGAAGGAAACGACGAAAACGAATTCCGCATCGGCGTAAAACTCACGCGGAAAACACTGAAATTCTACTCTACATTCTACAACTCCGACATCATCTTCGCATCCACCCTCGGCCTCCGCCGCGCCATCGAAACCGGGGACCCCAGAAAGAAACAAGGCGACTCGGATTTCCTGTCGTCCATCGAAATGGTGATTATGGAACAAGCCGACGCCGCCTTGATGCAAAACTGGGAACACGCAGAATACGTCTTCGAGCACTTGAATCTCCAACCGAAAGATGCGCATGGCTGCGACTTTTCGCGCGTGAGGAGTTGGTATCTGGATGGGCATGCGCCGGTGTTCAGGCAGACGATTGTGCTGAGTGCGTTTTTGACGCCGAAGATTAATGTCTTGTTCAACAAACATATGCGCAACTACGCCGGCCGCCTAAAGTACACTCCGGACCACACGGCCGGCCTCATCGAATCACTCTCCTGGGGTATAAAACAGACGTTCACGCGGTTCGACTCCCCATCACATCTCACGGACCCGGATGCGCGGTTTAAATTCTTCACGAACTCGGTCTTGCCGGGTATTAGCCGGTTACCTAAAAGTCCGGATGGCGGGTTGGGCGTGCTAGTGTTCATACCCAGCTACCTCGATTTCGTCCGCGTCCGAAACTCACTTGTGGATTCCGATATCGCATACGCGTCCATCAGCGAATACACAGACGCAACCGACGTCCGCAAGGCGCGGTCCCATTTCATGAATGGCAAGCATTCCCTCCTTCTCTATACCGGCCGCGCCCACCATTTCCATCGCTATAATATTAGGGGTGTGAAGCGCGTGGTGTTTTACGGGGTGCCCGAGAACCCGGTGTTCTACGACGAGGTTGTGGGATTCGTGGGGAAGAGTATTGAGCGCGCAGAGATCAGTCGCGCGGAAGCGAGTGTCAAGGTGTGTTTTTCGCGGTGGGAGAGGATGGAGTTGGAGAGGATTGTGGGCGGGAAGAGGGTGGGGAGGATGGTGGGGGATAAGGGGGATGTTTTTGATTTTGTGTAGATGTATGTGTTTGTTCGAGTTGGATTTGGTGGACTGCTGCGTCTACAGAAATCTTAAGAGCTGGTATAGCTTTCTCATCGAGGAGGTGTTAAGAAGTTATCGCAAGCTGAGTATACTCACCGAATCTCTCTTTATTGCAAGTGTGCGTAAACGTTGGAAGGCAGCTGATTGCTGACTCGAGGGCGGTAGGCAAGAAGAGAGGAGACTCCATTACACGCTGACATGATGTCATCCGGTAACGCTCGTCCCGTTCTTCTCATCCACCTTCCTTCCTCGCGGCTACCGGTTCAACATCACTATTCCGCAGAGTCTTCGTTGTTTGAGGATGCATAGACAGTCTTTCGTATTTGGTCGATCTTCTAAGCAGATGGTACAACTTCTTCATTCCCGATCCTTTCGAAGGCCATCGTAACCATCCTACACTCACTTCTCTTCTCTTCGTCCCCACATCCTATGTTCGGACAACGACAACGTGCTGTCTGATGAGGTTCTTTTCATCCTCTCTCCTCACAACATTCTTGGCATCATCGTCCATTTCCAACGCATTCGTGACGTTCATCCCGCTCACCATCTTCGCAGTCACCGGTTTAACTTCGCCGACCCACGGATCCTTCGCGACGTAGAAGAGAAGGTATGGCAGACTGGCTCCTGGTGGTTTGAACAGTCGCACTTTCTCGATGTACCGATTACCACCGAGCTGATCCTTGTGCTGGAGCAAGAGATAGCCCGCCCATCGTCCCACCGGCGAACCTGTTGTCTCGTTAGCGTGCCATCCTTCCCATATTCTGGTCTTCAGAACAGGAGGAAACTTCGACATACCCAGTATAGCCAACCCCCCCTTCCCCCCCTTCCCCTTCCCATCCATCACAAACTCATGCCCCGGCCAAACCTTATACTCACTCTCCGGCGGCTCCAACAGCCCCAACGCATGCCGAAATATCTCCCGACTCCCAGCATTCATCACCTGCGTCACAAGCAGATACTTCAATCCCTTCAATCCAGCGGGACTAGTCGCGCCGACACGGTTCCACATGGCCCAAGCAATGTCCTGGCTATGCACAGTCAGTCCTGTCGCACAATATCTCGTACACAAACATGACTCACGGTGTACCTATGTCGGGCAGTTCTGCGGGGAGGGGCGTGCGGAACCAGGTGAATGTCTTTGCGCAGTAAGTCATACTCATGATGTTCATAAGCCCGACAAGACCGTTTGGGTTGACAGCGAATTCGTAGGTTGCTCCCGTGGCCTGGGGGTGTTAGGAATGTCGGTCAATGAGAAGGGGTAGTAATCCTACTCTGTATTCCCTTCCGCACACATCGTAGTATTGATTTGCTTCGGATGGTAGAGTGCCATCTTCTTGTCTTTTGATCGCCGGCCCATCCCGATGATTAACCTTGAAACAGCGATTCGGCCCCCCATCCTTCGCCGCCTTGGTGTCCAGCCCGATCTCGTCAAACGCCGCTTTGATCTTATGATACGCATCAAAGTCGCACTCATTCTTTATCTTCTCGCTCAGGGCGTCACTGTCGTCGAATCCCCATTTCGCCAAATCAGCGCGACCGTCGCCGGTGAATGGGGATTGGCAGGTTTCGGCGTACTGGGGGAAGTCTTTGAAGAGCCACCGCGCGATGTTGTCTTTGGATTTCATGGCGGAGTCGAGGGTTTGGCCGGTGGAGACGGCTTTGTCGTATTTGGCGTTGGGGGGTGGGGGGTCGGCGGTTGTGTGGACGGTGGAGGGATCGAATGTAGCGGCGACATAGTCTATGGGTTTGTCTTTGAGGGAGGTGTCGTAGGTGAGGTTCGTGGAGGGACTGGAGTTGGGAGGGAGAACGTGTGTCGAAGCCAGTGTCGCGATTACGGCGATGGCGAGGATGTGGAGCTTCATGCTGGAAGCTGGTGTGGGTGGTGCTGGTGAGTGAAGACTTTGCAAACAAGGTAAAGGGAAAGCATTGTGTCGGTGACGGTGGATACGCTGCGATTAGAGCAAACGCGCTTTTCGGGGGTAAGTGAGGTGAGAGCGACCCGTCGAAGGAAGGCGCGGCCAGCATCAACATTCAAGTCCAGAATCATCGGATCTTTATGTTGCACACGTATCGCTCTTCAACTCAGAATAACAATTAACTTTTGTACAGCCTTTAGTGAGTTGCGCAATGCAGTGAGCGTTTCGGTCCATGACTTCAACATCATGAAATGCTCACTCGCACTGCGCCATTATGCCCGAAACACAATACCAGGGAAAAGATAAAACACCCATTTCTTTGCAGTTCGTACCGTTCAACCCGAGCACGTCCTACCACCTCTTTCCTTCCGTCTACCAAGCTCCAGCTTGAACTCCCGCATCTAATCCAGCAAAGTTCCACTCCTCTTTCCGCGTTGCCTTAACTACTCTATTCCAATTCCCATCACAACAGCAACCGAATTTCTTCCCCGCTCAACATATACTTCAACGACTGTAGCATCACCAAACCAGTCTTATCACCTCACACAAGAACAAAAAGCTAAACACGTCTGCAGACTACATCAAGACTGGAACATGCGAAGTAAGTGCTCTAACTTTGATATAGGCTCTAGGCTCACATCACATACTATGCACCCAACAGAAACCTTCACAGCTTCCCCGCCAGCCCCCCCTTCGCAGCCTCAAAAGGCACAGCAACATTCTTCTCCGCCCACTCCTTCTCCGCCTCCGTCCCCGGCATCGGCGGCACCATACCATTCACCTTCCACAAATCCCTATCCACATCTTCACAACTATACTCCCAATCGTACCCTTTATCCGCGATAAACTGTTTCAGCGCCTTATCCACAGCATCCATGAAGCGGTGTTTGTGCTCGAGTGAAGTACTATCTCTAGTTAGTCTGGACGTCCACGCATGCTATGTGTTGGATAGTGGGATGTAAGTACAATTGCCGAGCAAGATGCTCCATCTTAATCCGTATCATGGGGACTGAGCTATCGCGGCCGGGCTTGTTTGCTTCGCTGTTGGGTGAGGGACGGGGTACACCGCCGATGAAGAAGGATTCTGGTTGGATGGGTTGGAAGAGGACGTTTACGTAGAACCTAGGGAGGCCGACGATGGTGTAGAGTTTTGTGATTTCGTTTGCGAGGGCGGTTTTGTCGGCGAGGGAGGTGAAGGTGTTGGGTGGGTGGTAGATTATCCAGAGAGGCATTGTTGAGGATGTTTGTGAGGTTATGAGCGAGGGGTTATGGGATGACAGGCAACCTCGGAATAGTGTTGACTTTCTGGATATGGGGTATATACTACGAAGCTTATATAATATCCAAATACATTCATGCCGACGATGTAGGTTGCACGTGATTTGGAATAGTAATCACGACCGAGTGGTTAGTAAGTGTGGCGCTAATCATGCACCTTTTTGGGACTAACAAGAGGACATAGGACTTGGTACACCGCGCAGTGACGACTAATCATCAACCGCCGCCGTACTCTGGGTTTCGCTCTCGAGTCCGGAATCTTTTCGCGATTTACTTTAGATGTAACCATCATGCATCGTTGGGTGGGAACGTGACTTCGTGAGAGGTTGTCCCCCCGCATATTGTTACTATGAGAACATCACTAGTACTGGAGGCTAGTTTTCAGGACTAGCGTGACTGGTAGACTATCATTACGTCCGTAACAATCGTTGGCATGCGGGTACATTGAACAGCGGCTCCGCGCCCACTCACAACTCCGCCACAACCCTTCGTACGACTGCATCGAGATCTTCTTCCTGTAGTCCAAGCATCTCGTTCGCGAATCCTTCCTTCTTTTTCCAGTCCGCTGCAACAACACCCCACACTGCAACGACCTCCTCCCTCGCTTCGCCGTCACCGCTCAACATCTTCGGCCGAGACACATCCAACTCGTCCTTGCTGTTTTGGTCGATTCGCTCGAACTTATCGCCGGTAGCTTTCTCCAGCGCAGCAAGGACCTCAAGTTGCGTGACATGGTGACTGTGGACGTAGAGTAACTTATTCGCAGTCTCTTCTGGCTTCTCCAAGATCTTGATGACCGCCTTGCCGATGAAGTCCAGGTTTGAGGCGGAGAACTTGATCTTGCCGCCATCGAGAATGTATGCTTTGCGAGCCTTGACATCGAACTTCAATAGTCCGCAGGTCATGCCCCAGTCGAAGAAATGGCCGGTGACCAGACTCGTCCAGGTAAGCTTTCCCATGCCGTCTTCACGCTCTTTGCCCTCCAATGTTAAGAGGTAGTCCCGGACATCTTTCTTGCCCTTCATGAGTGGCAGGATCTCATTCGTCTTGTCATCCGCAGAGTCGCAGCTGCCGAACTCAGCGGGCATCACGCGCTTCACGCCGGCCTTGAATGCGGCATCGATGAGCTTCTTCTGCGACTCCACATGGCTTCCTGCGATGGTGATGACGAGGGCGTCGATCTTGTTCTCTCGCAGTACCTTGGCGACCCCATCGACGTTCAGGTCGTCGTGGACTGTGATGACTTTCGTTTTGGGGTAGACGGATTTGGATGTTTGGCGGTTGAGTATGAAGATGTCGAACTCGGAGGTTTTGAGCGCGTTGAGGACGGGTGCGCCGAGCGTGCCTGTGCCGCCGATGAGGGCGACGTTGGTAATGGCCATTGTGTTGTGCGGTGTTGATATATAGTAGGGTTGCGGGGTGAGATGAAGTGCCCAGAGTCACGTTTCGTGGGGAAAGAGTCGTCGGCGGCTGCGGGCGCGTATTGACGGCCCTACCTACTCATGGGGAGGCTTCCATCACATCTTTCAAACGCGACATCGTATATTACGTGACGTGCATCTCTATAGGTGTGCGACAAGGCGATTCCAGCGGGCGCGAGGGAAATACCGCGTTCTTGTATATTGACATCAATGATGTCATAGCACCTTCCGCAGCTACATCGACTGCTGTCGCTAGTCTATGAAGCTGGCATTTACGATGTCGTCGTCAACACTTCGCTTTATAGCACGCAGTCTATGTGCTACACTCGCGTATATGCCCAATGACTGAACATCATATCCTGGTCAGTGGTCATGTGTCGACTGCGCCGCATTGCATCTTGAGCGCGCGGGTGCGGGGTGAACGCGACTTCGCATCGAGCCCCAACAGTCCGCTGAGAGTCTATAATCACAACCATAGAGCTTTTTCTCTCTACTTTCTATTGTGCTGGCTATTTCGGCAGTACCAGCAGCGTGTCACAAAGCTGATGTCGCCCACTGCGCATACCTGTCGTCTTAACTGCCTTCAATCGATTTATCGCCGTCCATATATCATCGTCAAGTCTGCCCGATAAGATGGAAGATCAAGAAGTGCCCTACCAGTATCAGCGAATAAGCGCAAGCGAGGAGATCCGCGTCCTTCGTCTACAACCAGGCGCATTTGCTGAGCCTCTTATCGGCAGCCTCGTCGTGCGCAAGATCGGAGATGACGGAGAGAACCCGCCCGCCTACGATTGCGTTTCTTATTGCTGGGGACCGCAAGAGCACTTCACATCTTTCACATGCGACGGTAAAACCCTGCGCATCACGGTAGCAGTAGATGAGATGTTGCGACATATGCGGCAGGCCATGGAACTGTGTGATTTATGGGTAGATGCTAGTACGTATCAATGTACGCTGCCACGCTCGATCTTTCCTGACTGGTGTCGTAGTCTGTATCAATCAGGCTGATAGTGAAGAGAAAAGCCAGCAAGTGCGTACCATGGACAAGATCTATGCCTTAGCTCACTCGGTACGGATCTGGCTGGGCTCAGCGACGGACGAAGAGGTTGATTCTGTATGGCCAATGTTCAGCGCCAGCTCTGACGACTCGTATTACGAAAATTGCGCACAGGTCGACAAGAGAAAAACCTGGCTACATGGTTTTGAGGAAACGACTTCAACCTCTCAGTTCTTGAAAAGCTTCTTCCATCGAGCTTGGTTCACAAGACGATGGATCGTGCAAGAGGTGGTTCTTGCCCGTGAGGTAATCGTTCATTACGGGCTTCACGAAGTTACATGGTATAGATTTTACCGGGGTTCGCGCATACATTACCTAGTTCTTGAAGAGCAGCGTAAGGTTAGTATTTGTGATCTTGATAATGTGGCAAACCAGGTCTTCGACACTATTGAAAGCTTGGAGAATTCCAGGCTTCAAAGGAAAGAGCGTGTTTGGTTTAGGGGAAAGCGCCCAGAAACTCAGATTGAGAAAGCTTTGCAACTTCTGGAGTTATATCATACAACTGAATGTGTGGACGAACGGGATCGCCTGTATGCGTTGTATGGCCTCTCATTGAGCACAAGACTGCCCCTTGAACAAGACCCCAATTTGATGCGGCTGTGCCCTGTGGATTACAGCAATCACTTCTCGCACATCTATACGAAATTTGCCGTTGCCGCGATAGAATCTGGTAATCTTTACAACGTTCTCGCAAACGCGATCGAATTCGGAACCCTCTCCCAGCAGGATGAAGGCTGGCCTTCTTGGGTACCAAGTTGGAATCGAAAGAAGAAGCTGAACGAAACCGAGGCTTGGCTCAAATTGGTCGCGCATAATCCACAATTTGGACCGAATGTCCACGTCCCTCCCAGACTTCGATTTCCAAAATGGAAGGACGGGGTGACGGAAGATGAAGCAACGTATACCCAAGAGTATGCGACTAGAACAATTCACCTCCGTGGTTCTATCCGTCGTATTTGCGAGGCTCAACCGAGCACCTGCAGTCTGGACGTGCTAGCGTATCTAGACACTATGCTCGATCGTCAATGTGTTGGACACGCCTTCGCAATGTCCAGAGACATTGTGGCGTGGCTAGTGATGCTCGTTCTCTCCGGGCACAGCAGAATATTGTTACGACCAGGCCTCGACCAAAAGACCTACTTGACTTTCAAACCATCTTACCAGATAGAGTATCCAGAAAAGGACACCATCACATATAGAGCTTTGAAGAGAGTTCTAGGGCTGCCTCTGGGAGAGTCTACAGAATGGAAATATGACTTAGACCAAGACAAGTTTCTGTCCGAAGTAAGGAGAGTACTACAAGGCCTCTATCCATTTCGCTATGATCACGATGGATCTCCGGCGTTCGGTATCGCGTTGGCAGAAGTAAAGACAGGCGATTTTGTGTTCCGCGCCGCTCAAGTAGCCAGTCATAAGAATGAACAGGGAGACCCTACGCCTCCGATCAGTGGGTTCATAATACGGCCTTATCAGCAAGCGAGCGCTGTAGGCCCTGCCACTTTCCGTCTTGTTGGCATGTGCTTTGCCTACTATCCCGACTTGAAGGACCCAGAACTCGTCGAAGTTATCTTGGTGTAGGGGATACAGGCTGAAATAGGTATGAAGACATGGTCGGGAGTTGCTGAAGGCCTCTGTACTCCCTAAAAGCACCATGACGAACATACTAAAAGGAGACGTTTTATCATTGCAGTCAACGATATGTCGGAATAGGAAGTCTTGCAGCATCGGGGCACAGTATCCAGGGCAAAAGCTGAACAGGTGCTCTGCCATCTACACTGATATGTAAGACGAAACCTGACAGTCTTTTGAAGCAATGTAGACTTCAACTCAATTGTAGTCCTGTTAAGCTGCCACGGTGGGGCTGAATACTCGTTGGTATGAAGAAACGGCAATGGAAGAGGATGCGTTGAGACATGAGATCAAGCTGTGACCCGCCGAACACTCCAGCAAACTTCCTCAAAGCTATCACGAAGATTCCATACACCAGATTACAACTTTCGTGGCCGGCCTAATTCTAGGACCCTGCTGCAGTCTGAGTCAAAAGCGCGTTCTCTTCCTGGTTGCGACGAGTCGTGGGGGATATGTCCACAACGGCGATGGCAACTGCAACGGCGATTGCGACAGCGACAAAGATGAAGCGAGCGCCGCAGATGCGCCGGTATTGACATCACCAGGCGTGAGAATCTTTCTTCACGATGCGATTCCACAGGCCCTAAGCACCAGCGCGTGATGCGCAGAATCAGAATTGCGATAGACAATATTCCTTCTTTTCAACATGAGCATTTGGTGTTCTCGATGCTTGGGAGCATTTCCGCGGTGTCTGATCCGGAGCGTGCATCGGGGCACCCACGTGCCGACGCGAGTTGCATCGAAAGCACGGGCGAAACCGGAGACGGAAGACCGCCCGGGACCGCGATAAGCTTCCAAGGTTTAGCCCTCCACGCAATCCCCATCACCGTTTCCAATAAGAGTCATATTGCGGTGGGAGTTTGCCTCTTGCAAGTCCCTGTGACGTGCAGTGATCTTTGAAGAACATTCTCGTCGTCTCACAAGCCACCCGAATCTATCCAACTATATATCTCCAACACATCACATGACGTCTTCAATCGTGAGCGTGCGATTTGACCAGCCGATCGCCATCGTGGTGTTGAGAATGTTTCAGCTGGGGGGTGCAGGCTCGCGGCGTCTGAGTGGGCCGGTTGGTGGTCGCCAGTGTGGAGGGCGGCACTAAGGGAGGCCGCGCATGCAGGCCAAGCCCAACGCCACAAAATGGCGCCGGAGCGTCCAGGCTTGGACGCATAATTGACTTGGGCTAAGAAGAGTACCTTGTTCCACACGGCGAGGGTGAGGTGTAAACTTCACCGGATGGTGATCGAGGCCTGGTGGGTTGTGGGTGTTGGATGTAGACTATCGAGTGCGATACCTGTAGTGTATCCAGGATCGTATTCTGATCCGAGGCTTCCGATGGTAGTGATGCTGTTGCCTGGCATATGCGCAGTGCAGTGCGGTGCGACAGCAACATGTTGTTGCTGCTGTCTCGCGTGGTGCCACCTACTCCCACCACGTTGACTCCCCGCGGACAGCCGGCAGCGGATGACATAACGACACTGAGACGACTTGAGTCGTTAAACGTTTGCTGGCAGCGACTTAGCGGATGCGCCCCTTGGCTAACACTTAGCGAAAGGCCCCATAATGATGTAAATTGCGCGAAAAGCAAACCTTGGGCGCGCAGCTGGCAGCGACGTCGTCCAGTGAGGCCGTCAACAGATAGTCAAGATGTGAGGGTACCCATCGGCCTGTCGCTATTTTCATGTGAATTGCTTTGTCGAGACTTTTGTCTGAGACGCAAGGGCAACATCGCCAATTCCGGCAAGGAGGTGGGCTGACCGGGGCCCCCCGGCTAGCGCGGCTTAGGGCAGCCCGTACGTGTGGAAATGCGCTGAATGACTGCTCCCCCCGAACTTCGTCGTCGCTGCCCTTCATCACAACATCATCGCCGTCTGGCACACCATCCCCTCACCTTCCCCCCCACCACCGCCTCTCCACGGCCTTTTGTAGCCCTGCACGCCTGTAATACGCCCCTCTCTCCTGTATTCACGAATTCTTCTTAGGAATTTCGTGCTGGTGCGGCTGTCTCTTCCTTATCAACCTTGAGTGGCCGATCATCGCGCCTCTTGCCCTCCACGTCACCACCTCAACGGCTTAACTGCTTGTTGCTTCTCTTCCTGCACTCCTTCGCCCGCACTTGATACCCCCTACCCGTTTTAATATTCTCTCCTGCACGACTTGCCCTTCGATTTTCCCGAAGTTAAAGTCGCGCATTACTGTTGTTGCGCCTGCTGCAACGTCATCCTGCAGCCTCACTAGCACTCGACTTCGATGCGCACGACCCTCACAACTACAGATGAGCTCTGTTGGTTTTAGGCCTCCACTTCTTTCACAATGCAGTCCATGTTCCGCCTCCCATGGTGTAACGAGTCGCCTGGCGACAAGATCATGGAGAAGTCGACGCTCCACAAGTCAAGACCGCTGCCGGTCGACATGCCACACTTCATGAACAACATGAATAAGATCAAGCGGAAACGGACTGACAGTCCTGAGCCAGTAGCGAAGAAGTGGAAGGGCGCGCATGGTGAGGTGAGACCGTCGACGGTCAACGCAAATGCGAGTGCAAACGCGAAAGCTGCGACCGACAATGGACGTCTTGCGGACGCACCCAGACCTGCTTCTGCTGAAGTGGATGCCCGACCCAAGGCACAGCCGAGGAAAGAAGGCGCAAGCAAGAGCAAGGCCGCGAAACCTCAGCAAACGACTGCCAAACCTGACTCTATCAACACGCCATCGACCACCATGGACTCTGGACTGACCCCTGTGCAACAAGCCATCGAGGCGCAAATCAACTACGAGATTCTGCTCAAGCACAACGAACTTCGTTTGATTGAACAGGAGCTCGCCAAGTGCCAGGTTTCTCTCGAGCAGCTGAGGCGTTGTTCGCTCATCCCATTCCCCGGTACCGAAGGCCTTAGTGAGGATGTCAGTCTCGGGGTTGGTGCTTCATTGCAACCCAGCTCTGGCATGACAGAACCTCAGTATGCTGCTCCTTGGGGAGTCACCGACGGCCCGTACACTCGCCACTACGCAAAATGGTTGATCTCAGACGCCAAGTTTGACCCTGTATCTGAACGCGCATTCGCTCAGCAAGCTCAAGGGTACTTTGGCACTGGTGAAGGCAGGACGACGCGCGGCAGCTTTGCTGACTATGGGTCTCACAGAGGCCGCACGTCGCGAACTTCGACTGGAATGTTGAAGCTCACGCCCCTTGGTGAAACTCCAGCACCAGCGCCCAAGGTCGACCCGTTGTTGCACAAGCGATCGACGGACGGTCAGTGGGTGCGCCTGTACTGCGCCCCGTGTGGCCACAGCAACTTCTCCAACACTCAGGGTTTCCTCAATCACTGCCGGATCAAGCACACGCAGGTCTTCAAGAGCCACGACGCTGCAGCCATCGCATGTGGTGTTCCTGTGGATGTTGACAATGTTGGTACTCCTGTTGCCGCTGCCGCTGCCGAACCCGCGAGCGCTCCAGTTGCGCCTCCAGCCGTGTCATTCCCTGTTGTTGCCACCCCCGGCATCGTCCACCCACTAGCATCACAATCCGCACCCGTCCCACAAGCCCGGGAGGTACACCGTGATCAGAACGCCTCACCACGTGACGATACCAAGGTTACCACTCCGGCTAACTTTGCCAAGTCATCATCGACGCCCTACCTTGCTGCCCGATTCGCAAACAGCGGCGCCCAAGGCGATTTCAAGGAGCTTGTCGAGACTGCCCGCGCAAAGGTCGATCTGGACGCCATGGATGCCTCGGATGACGACAGCCCTGCCCCGACCCCCGTGTCAGCAGTGCCGCCGCATCTAGCGCGCCTCCCTGCCAGCGGACCCGCAAGCAAAGCCCCATCAGCACGACCAGGCAGCAAGAAGGGCAGCAATTCCAGCCACGCGCGCCTGCCGTTGTCGTTCCCGTCTCCCACCAAGTCTGAAGGCGATCATCACATGCCAAGCTCACCGGTAGATCTCAGCCCTCACACGGTTGAGTCGAACCCTGGGCTTGTCAGCGATCACGACGACGACGATGATGAAGACGCTGACGATGCACACAGCCAACCTGATCTTTCGATCGGCGGCGACGACGTCATGGTCGAGGATGCGAGTGACGTCGAGGGTGTGCAGGAACGCAGGGGTTCACGACCAGCACTTCATGGGTGCTTCGAAAAGGGAGAGGGAAGCCGGAAGCACTGAGCAGCGAGAGCGAGTTAGGTCCGGCTCACGCTGTTGCTGTTTCTCATCCCCTTCTTCCTTAACGATGTCACTTGTCATGGAGCTATGGTATTCTTTCTTTCTACTCAACACCGGCGGCTTTTCTCCAGTCTTCACTTTATACACGGGTTACCAGCAATGGACGGAGTCGGTCCGGCTGGCGAAGGACATTCCAACATGTTCTGCTTTTTGATGTTTGTTTTACTTGTCCTCTTACCTGCTTGTCACTTGCTGCTGCTATTACTACTACTGCTGTTCTTACGGAAATGCCCTCAAAATGTGTCAGAAACTCTCATCTCACGAGTCGAGCGAGTCGTTGTCTTTTCCATCAAGGAATGGAAGGTGGCTGCTCTTTAGTTTAGGCGCTGGAAACGTCGTGTATCATCACCTTTTGCTATATGTACGAAATTGGGTGGTGTCTCTGGTTGGTGGTTGTTGTTGGTTGTTGTTTCATCTTTTTATGTGATGGAGTGGGTGGATTAGATGGATGCTTTGGGGGTTGTGCTGGTACACTGGCATTGATGGCTAAAATGCGATGGATGGCAAGGAGTGTGAAAGCTTGCTTGCGCGATTTGTCTTGCTGCCTTTATGTATATAACCTTTTTAATCTCATGAAAATCTTGTCAAATGCTCGGGATTCATTGAGGTGGTAATGATGTTTTCGTGGCTTCTTGCCTGCCGCCGATGGCCGTAGTTGAAGCTTGACTTCGACGGCATACGTGACTGGTAGTCTGATCGACATGTTCATTGTCCGGTTCCTGATGCTGCCCGTAACGCCTCGCTGCAAATGTGTCCTCCGCTGATATCTCCGTTCGCCTTCAACACGCTGTATCCTCCTACAGCACAACCGGCTCAACTCATAAACTGCAGTACCTGTACATTGTCAGCTTCTCATTCTCCCATCCCCATCCCTCCCCATCCCCCCTATATCTCCCCATCTCCCCATCTCCCCATCCCGCTCCTCCCATCCCTCCCATCAAATCAAATTACTCCACTTACAGCCATAACAACACAAGCCAAACTAACATACGGACTCAACCGCTCCCCCACACGCGCCGCTTTCCAAACAGGCGATATCCAATACTTCTCCTTGTTCCGATCGAGGGGGCCGGGGAAAGTCGCGTGCGCGTATGTGGCCGTGCAGATTGTGAGCAGGATTACGAGGAGCAGGGATTGGAAGTTGAAGAGTGCGGTCTAGACAGGGTTAGTATGGGTTGGAGGGGAGAGAGGGGGAGAGGGGGAGATGGGAGGAGAATGGGGGGAGGATGGGTAGAGGGGGGACTGACCATCGTGATAGATGTAGATGTGGATGTGAAGGCGGAGTGTTCGTCGTGGTGGTTTTGAATAGGTGTCGGATGGTGTGTGTTCGTCGCTATCGGTGTCTTCGCTTATATCTCAGCGTAGATGCGCTCGTAGTCAGAGAGGATAGGTAAAGGGTTGCTGCCTAGTGAAAGCGCGCGCTTCAGGCCAGATTGTCGCTTTACTGTAGTCGCGTACGGTGGTTGCGCCCGCGGACAAGGGGTCTGTGCGCACTCCCGGCCGCCGCATGTGGGATCGTCATTGCAGCGCAGCGAACGCGCTAGCTATTGTCGCTGGAACAAGCGCGACGCAGCCTTGGAGACTTGTCGCGACTTCACCTCAACCATCGAAGAACGACTATTACGGCACCGCGGAAGCTCATCATACGGGTGCTAAGCGCAGGGATTACACGCGATTGTTACGGATAGCTGCGCTGAAGGGACGAGCAAGAAGAGCGTGGAGAGAAGAGAACGAGGAAGTCGGCCAACGACCAAGAGCGCGAGAGACACACCACCATGACAGAGCCACGTATGCGCCTGCGGCAAAAAGGCCAGCAGTTCCCTACACAAGACTGTAAGTCACCATATCCCAAATCTATCAGCACCCTCGATGCGCACCGTCCACCCCAGACCCCCATCACCACCTCCACCACCATCCACACCCAAACTAACCCTCCACCCCTTATCCACAGTAGAAGCCTTCCTCCTCGCCTTCGGCGACAACGACTACCCCCTCCCCGAAACCATGCGCGTCCTCGACGAAATCATAACCGACTACATCATCGAAACCTGCCACGAAGCCGCGTCCGTCGCGCACCACGCCCGCCGCGCCAAGATCAAGCTCGACGACTTTAAATTTATGCTAAGGCGGGATACGGGGAAGTTGGGCAGAGTGTCGGAGATGCTGGAGACGGATAAGGAGCTCAAGAGGAAGAGGAAGGCGTTTGATACTGATGAGGGGGCGGTGCTGGTGGAGAAGGATGGTGGGGGGGATGGGGAAGGTGGTGGTGGAGGTGGTGGAAGGGAAGGAGGGGGTGGGGGGAAGTTGGGGAGGCCGAGGAAGAAGGTTGATGGTGGGGAGGGGGATGGGGGAGGGGAGGAGCCGAAGAAGAAGAAAAAGAAGAAGAAGGTTGATGGGGGTGGGGATGATGCTAGTACTGTGAGGAGTGGATGAAGTTGAGGGGTTCGATGGATGGCTGCTGCTGCAATGGTGTCATGCGGCCGAGATTGCGGATGGCAGCGGTCGCGATGGATGCGCAAGGCACACGACCAGTTATATCGCGGCTGGGTCGACGATATGTCTTGAAAGCGATGAGCAGCCACAACCTCCTTCCCCTCGAGCGGAAGAGAATCACCGTGTTACCAGCGAGCATACGGCGACCCGATGGGTAGTGCTCGAGCTCCATGCATTACTAGGAGTATGGCCATTGCGGATTATGCGGGTTTACTGGCGTTTATCATGAATACCCACCGAGGTCTTTAGAGCTTCTACAAACAGAACCAAATTTCACCGATTTCCAATATATATTCGAGCACGGTGCCCTTGTGGCAGTATAACGCTTATCTCCCGGTTTTACAGTCCCCCAAAGAGACTGCCACTCGGGATGGATAGCCTCACTGCAAGTCAGCGCATGTGCTTGGCGATACGAGCTGACAGTTGTGTGTATGTCAAGCAATGTCGTCAACTATTACCAGCCACCTCATACAAGCAAAAGACCAAACAGGTCTAGAGACTACATCAAGACGAAAACATGTAAATTGTGTGACCACAAGTCAGTGCAGGCTCTAGGTTGTTCAGCTTCTATTAAGTTTGACGTGCGACGATCGCTCATAGGAAAGAATGTTGGGTTGCGAGACGAGTGGTATGACCGAACAACGCAAGGACACATTCATTCATTGGAGGGGGATAGAGAGATGTGGTTTTGACACATACATTCAACAGCTGAAAAACATCAACGGATGAACGTAGAAGGAGAGCTGTGTTTTCTGAAGTATCATTCACAAGTCCTCCGGGGGTATCATCCATCCTTTAGGGACGCCGAACGCCTTCTCTGCCAGCCCAACCATGTATCGCAATCTCCAAAAGTCCTTCATTCGCCCTTCCATAAAATCGTGCGTCGCTCGTCTCCGCACCAACTCAACCCGCGCAGACGCCTGACATCAAAAGCGGCCATCTCACCACTAGCCAATATCAATCCAACTTGTCAAAAAGCTGGTAGCGCAAGCCTTCTCGCACACGCTCCCGCTTCGCATCCTCCACAGCCTTGATCCTGTCCTTCTGACTCTCTTGACCACCGTCCTTCACCTCGCCCTCGGCTCCAGCGCCCGCCCTCCAAACCGCCAGATCGTCATCCGCGGCCTTGTACACAGATGATACATCGGATTGATCGTGGTGCTTGGGATCGGGTTTGTCGGGTACTGTGTGGCCAAAGAACTCGAATACGTCGCGGCGAAAGGCGGGATCTTGGTGAAGGACGTAACCGCCGACCCAGTCGGATTTGAGAGGCTGTGTCGCGGTAGCTTGCTTCTGACCTTGGAAAGCGACGTTGGCCGCTGAGCGTTTCTTGGATGCGACTGGGGTGGGTGTCGGTGGTATGTAGGCACTGGGACTGGGGAAGGGCATGGGCGTCCAGCTGGGGTTGAAGTTGCTCTGCATCTTGGCTGGGGGCTGTACTGATTGCCCTGGGCGTCGGGTGTCAGGAGGTGGAGCGGACATATCGTTGGTCTCGTTGGTCGCGTTGGTGGCCTTGGTGACAGAAGAAGCTGGGAGGGTTTAGTTTTGACGTGAAGGTGCTAGATAGGGAAAGACATCTCACCTTCACTACCCACCTTGATGCCTAACAGATAGAGTACCCCCTGATGAGCGAATTGCGAAGCGGTGCTTCGTACCAGCGGCTCGATCTGGTCGACCCAGGCGGAAACACTCTCGCCGTTTGCCTTCGCAGCTGCGGCGCCCTCTATGAGTTCCTTGTAGCACCCCCAGTCGGGGCCGAGGTCTGCTCGTAGAGCGACAAGGAGAAGGTCCAGGTTTCCTAGCTTAGCCGTCGCTGTGGTCTTTCGCTGTTGGCGGCGTGTCAAGTTGGCCATTTTGGAATGGGTGAAGAGGTAAAATTGGAGCCTGAGGACCCGGGGCACAAGAAGGTAAAGAAACACATGCGGCGCTAAACGTGCCCAGCATCAACCGTGAATCCTGCTTCCTATTGTGAGATCATCCAACCATATCACAATAGTGAAATGAAGAAGCGCGATACCGGACATCAAGAGCTTGAGGCGTTTCTGAATATGGTGACCGCTGTACAATAGCGACGCCACAGAGATCTCTGATTGACGCAAGGCTGCCGTATCGCCCAGAATGATAACCCGAAAGCAACCCATATAATGCCATGCGAATTGCCTGACTCCCCGCTCTTCGCAAATAGATGATGATCCGAATGAGTCGAACGTGCATACTCAGCACCATAAGCCCGGTCTTGGGCGATGTTCTCGCAATAATCCATTGCCACAGAGATATCTTTTTGCATTAGTATGCGCGGTGCGCGCGGTTAAACAGAGTCCACAATGGCGTTCCTGTATATGACGCAGTCAACCTCCGTAACCCAACTCATCCTCGTTGCTATACTCATCGCCCATGCGTAAGTGCGTGAGTGCGCTCGTTCGTCGCACATCGACAGTCCAAAAGATCGAAACGTGCCAGTACGATGGCTGCAATGCGAACACATCACATGGCTTCCAGATTGAGATACACACTCTTTACAAAGTCGTTTCCGGCGCTCAGATCGTTGGGCGTAGCTTCATCAATGGGCTGAACTGAGCAACCGATCGCACCTGCCTGCGCATTATTTTGAAGCGTGAGCTGCTCCTCAAATGACTAATTCACTACCGTTGTCTGCGACATATGCGTCGGGTGCGAGAATAACAGCTTTCCGGCCCGCTGGTGGTCTTCACGAGCATAGTCAGGCTGGGGGAGGCGCGATAGAGCGTGGACAGCAAGCTCAAGATGTCGCGAAGATCGGATCCAGTGAGCGCCTGCGCGTCGGGGGAGGGTGGCACGCAATAGTGTACAGATATCTCATAGTTGGTGTCGGAGGATGAGGTTTGCTTGTGGGCGGTTGAAGTTCCGTCGGCATCGGCGGTCGGAGAAATCTCGGCCGACGCGGTGGTCATGGCGTCTTGCGGCGTGATCTTACGCGACAACGGCAACAATCTCTTAGCCTTTCACTTGTGCAATAGAAGACATCAACTTGCCGTCGCCATGAATCTCGAGCTCAATCACATTTGCGCATATCGACGAATGTGACTTTCATCTCAGCCCTGGAACTCACAGATGCAGCCAGGCTCACCGCGGTGGTCGTCATTATCGCAGAGGTCGCCCATAGCAAGACAACGCTTACAGTACATGCCTTGCTTCAAGTGTAGAAGCTTCTTCCCAGCTCGAAATTCAACTGCAGGACTTCGAGTTCCTGTCAGCCATACCCTACCTTGCTGTACCGAGCCTGTACTAGCGAGCCACTCACAACGATGGAGATGTGAACGATATCCATCAAAACGGCATATGCTGATTCACAAAATCAACGATGGGTAGATACGCCGCGTGACCAAGACGCTTTGACAAGCCACTTTTGGATCAGGTGGTCTTCAGCTTACCGTAGGATATCCGGTACAGTACGCGTCATCATGTCTTTTCGAACCGTGCGACGACCAAACATATTCACACTCCAAAGTTCATCGTTACGTGGCTGAAGGCCACGCGCTACGCGAGTGAATATTGTCACACAAAACTTCGTTCGCTGGACAGTTAACGCTCTCTTTGTCTTCCCCGAACAACCTCCACGTTTTCGTTCTCTATCGCACACATCGCACGACGATAACCATGCCGCTGTTCGGATACGGCAACACCCCAAAGCCGAGCGCTCAGGAAACCCAACAACCACAAGATATGAACGCCCAACGACTGAGACGCGAAAATCGTCGGAGAAGCAGTGAGCTTCGGCAATCCGATGAGCAAAGCGCTCCAGCACCCACGAATGTAGGCGCTTCCACAGCCAAACGAAGCGATACCCCGACCCTCAGACAAGAAGACCCTCCGGCATCGCACAACCTGACGCGAGAAGACATCCAAAAGTGGAGGTGAGTGCTAACATGTCGTTTCCAAACGCTCCCCGATCTGACCTAATGCAGGAACGCCACGTACGAGATCAAGGCCACCTTCCCCTACGTCGACTTATGGCCATGCATGTACTGCCTCACCAACATCGACTTCCGCTACCGAGAACGATGTTCGCGCTTCCACTGCGACAACCCTGAGTGCATCGGCCGCGGAAAGCTGCAGGTTACTTGTTTCTGGGACATAAAAGCAGGGATTAAGAGGAATGAGGATTAGCCGCAGCATGCTGTGGCTCGTCGTGGGGAGACTGAGCGTCCGGGGCAATGCGTTCAGGTCGGCTCGGGTGCGCCCATGGAAGCGCGTCGATGACTTCTAGACCATCGATCCAGGTCCCGTGTGGCCAGAGCGAGTCGTTCCAGGGCTCTGATGTGTCGACAAATATCACGCTCAACTCGCTGTCTTCTTCGTCTGCCTCGGATTGTTCGCTGTTTATACCGGTTGGAGAAGCCGACGATGCCGCGGGGCCCTGACGCAGGGTTGGCCGAACAAGCTTCGTATTCGCCATGGTCAGAGGAGGGGCCGCTTCCGGGGAATCTTCGCGCACTGTCGCCTCCGCGGCGGCCTCTGACACAGCTTCCGATGTTACATTTTTGCCTGGAGTAGCGACGTTCTGCTTCCCTTCACGCGACTGTGTTACCGGTTTATCGTCCTCGTCGTCTTCAGCCGCCGTCCCATCTCCCGTGATTGGTATCTTGACCGACACCTCTTTCCTCTGCTTATCGATCTCCGCATTCATCAAATTCGCTAATCGATTATGGTCCTTCGAAATACGCGGAAAGCTCTCGTTCACGAACGTTTGCATCGCCTCGGCGGAGTCTCGAGCTCGATCTCGACATGCCATGATGTCGCCAAAATACTCGCGGTACACGGGGCGGGCGGTGGGAGGTAGCTTCTTCGTTAAGCTGACGAAGTTGGCTTGGACATGGTACGGTATCAGGAAGGTGAAGCCTTTGGAGGCAGATGAGCTGTAGTAGGTGTAGTCTACCATTGTTGATATCTGAGCGTTCGGATTGATCGTTTGTTCAGCTCAGCAGCAAGTGTTATCGGTACGCAATCCGCTACAATTATAGAAGCTCGAGCATGCTCATACAAGAAATGGTCAGTGTAATTCTAGGCGACATCCATCACGAGGGCAACATTGCAGTGAATATATTTGGAAGTATTTCATTACCACACTCAATCGTCCCATGGTACTGCGGTGACGCGACGCAGACGAGCGACTCATAACTTCCGAATTCCATATGCACCCATCCAATCAGGTCCTCTCGAAAAGAGAAGATCGTCAACACAAGAGCTTACCACACTCAAGCGCCTACAAACCATCCAGACTTCCTAGAGTAACCATCAACGTACCAGCTAACAGATACAAGCCACGCAACGACCCGCTTCCGACGTCTCGTACACCCCTTTGACGCCTTCACCGCACCGAACCAGACCTGCAGCTCTACTTCTTCCGGGGATGAGCTACCTTGGCCTTGATGTATTGTGCCCCAATCATCGTTTCGTTTAGCATATCGATCGCGGCGCCGACTTCCCCTGTCGGAATACCCACAAAAGCGTAGCCCTGCTTGATGACGACCTTGTATACGACGAAGCCCTCAAACAGGGTGCGGATCTTGTAGTCTGTGACGTCGTATGGGAGGTTCTCGAGTTTCAAGTCTGTGATGTCCGTAGGCGGTAGAGGAGCTGGCGCAGCGAAAGTGGGCGCAGCGAAAGTAGTCGCGCTGCCCATACCAAACTCAGCCTTCTTTTTCCTCTTATCCTTGTCCGACAAGTCCACTTTGATGGTGCAGCCTTGCCACTTGACGCCATTCTTGAACTGTGCGAGGATTGGGTTCGCGTGCGCTTGCTGAACGACAACGAAGCAGAACGTCTTGCCTGGTAGTATATTGACGTCGGTGATGGGGAAGCCCTTGAAGATCTCTCGCACTTCTTTCGACGAAATACCGACCTTCACGCCACGGACGAAGAGTGATACGTCAGTGGCGCTGGGCTCCTTGACAAGCAGTTTATCCATTTCTTCATCAGGAACGCACCGAGCGTTGAGTGTGGCGTTCTTCCAGTAGGTACCCGCGTACTGGCGTACTATCTCGACCGCCATCCACGGCTGCGCGAGCTGCAAGAGGCCGACTCCTGGATCGGGTGTTTTAACTTGAAGGATGTTGATAGGCTCATAATAGCCGTAGTCGGTTGGGTTTAGATGTTGGTTCTGCTTGGTGGCCTCAACGTACTGGTCTCGCACAGACTCTAGCAACTTGTTCATGTCACTCAGAGTGTGCTTTTCGGGAAGACCGGTAATCTCAACAGTGCGCGAGTCTATTTGGTGATCCCGGGCGCGGACGAAGTCGGAATAACGGTTGGTGGCGGTTTCGGGAATGGCTTCGGTCCAGAATGAAGTCGTGATCTTCTTGCCGGTTGCCCCGAAGTGGTAGCCTTTGTGGTCGTTCTCGAATGTTGCGGCGAGCTCGGGGGCCTTGAAGACTATCCAGACGGACTCGCCTCCTCCCGCTTGTGTGTACACTTCCTCGATTTCGTCTTCTTGCAAACGTAGCTCGGTGAATACGTAGGATGACTCGCAGTTGGAAGGAAGGTCGCTGACTAGTACTGTAGACGACATGGTTGATGTGTGTTTCCGAGAAGTTGTTGAGGTAGATTGGAGCTGTTAATCACCCAGGTATGGACAAGTGTTGTTGAGCAGAAGTCTGTGATCCAAGTAGAGAAGCGAAAAAGGCAGATATATAGGGCGCTTGTGTACAATGAAAAGTAGTACAAGCCTGATGTCGGAGTGTAGCCTTAAGTATTCATTCGGTCGAGTCGTGCAATGTTTGTCAAACCATCCACGCAGTCACATGAGCACTCTCGCAAACAAGAATTCTGTATTCTCTGGAAACATATCTGATTTGAGTGGATGCTAAAGAGTGTGATAGGCCTGAGCATGGTTTCCAAAGCAGACTTAATGGTAGAAGAGGCAGACCTCATCTGTTCCATGCGCACTTGCCGCTCTGGTTGAGGCAGCCTGATGGACCCCCAATGCACATCGGCCCACGAAGACAGCGGGCGCAATTATATTCGTAGCAATCAGCTGTCTCATCACAGGGCGCTCCCGCTACACATTCCGCTCTCTGGTGCACAGACAGCACCCCTGGCAACTTTGCCTCCGATGTTCTGACGCTCGGATCGCGTGCGATGATGTCGTCAGGGACGGCCCATAGCTGAGCGTCAGATGTCACGGTGCGCCCATCGCTGAAGTAGTGATTAGCTTCATTCTCCAGATCTGCTGATAGAGGGGTTGATTAGAGCAAACGTACACGCCTGACATGACGGACGGGTCCGAGCCTGATTTAGCGAAGAACTCCGTGATCTGAGGTCCACTGAGCTGGACAAAGTCCACCACAGTGTCGTGGGCTGCGTTCAAGCTGCGAAGCACTCCATCGCGTCCGAGATCCATCATCTCGCCGTAATCAAAGTTCTTGAGTGCTTCGTCGAGCGACTAGTATTCGATGTCAGTAAAGTTTTGCTTGGATGTGGCCCTTGAGTATGCCTACCACGTCTTTAGTGGGCGCTGATGCTGCTAGCAGAAAGGCCGCACTAGCGGAGATAAAGAGCGTGAACCTTATGTTAAGTCTGCTGTATAAGAAATAAGTTATTATATAAAGTAGTTTGTTAAAGAGTAGTAGCGCCTAGTTAAGAGAAACTCTAAAGAATAAATTAATACTTATTTAATAGTTTTAATTAACTAATAATACTATTACTAATATTCTTTTACTTATTTTAGCATAATATACGCTATTTACCTATTTCTACTTATAACCTAAGTATACTAATATAGTACTTTAGCTATTTAAGCTTTATTTCTTTTTCTAAATAGCTTCTTTATAAAGTCTATATTCTCTTTACTTATAATTTCTTTTATACTTTATTTTTATTAGAACTTAGTAAAAGTATTAACTTAATACTTAATAACTTTCTCTAATATACTTTTTCTATTATTACTTTAGTAAAAGAAAAGAATCTACTTAAGAATAAGCTAGCTAGTTTATAAGATAATATAAGCTTTTTTAATATTAACTTAAGCTATAACTTTATTAGTACTTATACTCTATTTAATACTAGTAATATTTTTTATAAACTTTTAAGCTAGGTTACTACTAATATTATAGCTATAAAGCTTTTTAATTTTATTTTATAGCTATAGAAAGAGTATCTTATTATTAAGAAGAAGAGTAGAAGTAGATAAATTTATTATAGATTAAACCTATAATCTCTACCTAATTAGGCCTAGCTTTGTATTAGGCAAGAAACTTTAAAATACTACTTATACAGCTCTCTCTTTTCTATAATATAGTATTTTACTAGTAATATAATTTTAACTTAATATACCTATTATACTATACTATGTTTAAAGTCTACCTATACCTAGCCTCTATACTCTACTCTATTAAGTTATATTATAATTAGTTATAATAATAATAACTACGTATAATTTATACTAGCTAAAGAAGCTCTAACACTATAGTAATTACTATTACGCTTAGTGCATAAATTAGATATATATACTCTTTTAGAAATAACGCTGTAGAGCGTAGTACTAGTAATAATAAGCTTATAGAGCTCTACTATATAACTATAGAGTAGAACTTATAAGCTAGTTAGTTAGATACTACTAAGAGTGTACTAAAGTTATAGAGCTATAAAGATATAAGAAAAGCCTAGATTAGAGCCTACTAGAAGCCTACTACTATAATAGTTAGTATTTATTAATAAAGAATATTATTATAGAAAGTGTTAGGCTTAGTTATATAAATAATATTAGATTATAGAGTTAGTAGAGAACTAGCTTATTCTACTAGTAAATAAGGTAGTAAATATTAAGTAAGTAGATATAGTATACACTATTAATAATATAACTCTATAACACTATTATATCTATATTCTATATATATACCTATTATTACTATAGTGTTTACTAGTAGCTTTAACGCGCCTAGCGCCTTCTCTAGAAGTAGTGTCTTTAGTAATATCTTTATAAATATATAGTCTTAAACTATTATAAGTAACTCTTAAAGTATATACTTTCTACTATTACCTAATTAGTAATATAAGAGCTTATTTCTTTAGTTTTACGCGCAACTCTTCTAGCTAGTAGATTTAAATAGTAGTTACTAAGAATCTATAATTCTAGATAATAACGCTAAGAATAGCTATATCTATCTTAAATTTAGTAATATTACTATTAAGAGCTTATAGAACAACGTTTGCTAAATATATATCTTATTCTATAACTCTAATAGTAATCTCTATAACTAGATTAAACTCTAGTAGTATAATAATAGCTCTAATAATAGAGTAAGTATTTTATTATATATAATCTAGGTAGGTTAAAACTACTCTATTAGTAATAGTAAGTACTATAGCGTTATTACTTCTACTATTACTAATACACAGAACTTTAGAAAGTAAGCTATAGACTAACTAGTTAACTAGTATTTCTACTTTACTACGCTTCTTACTACTCTTTATAACGTTATCTATAATATTAAAAATAAAAGTAAATATATTTAGAAACTCTTAGAAGTAGTTAACTAGTCTTAAAGCGCTACTATTAATAGCGTTAGTTATAATACTTACTAAGATAAGTATAAAGAAGTTAAGCGCTTCTAGAAGACTATAACTTAACTATAGTCTACTAAGACTAGTAAGCTTACTAAGTACTCTATCTATAAGGTAATAGTCTCTAAGTATAATACTACGCTTCTAGAAGTTAATAAGCTTAAGAAGTAGCTTAAAAGTATAGTTAATTCTATTACTTTTAATAAGCTAAATAATAAGTTTAAAAAGGTAGATAGTAACGCTAATATATAGTATAATAAGTACTAAGGTAAGATTAAAGAGTATAATCTTATATCTAATATACTTAATAAGCTACGTAAGGCTAAGAACTAGAATATTATCTATCTTTAGTAATAACTTAACTAAGTAATACTTAACCTATAGAGCGCGTAGCGTAAGAATAAGAACTACTTTACTAAGCTCTAGCACTATAAGCCTAGTTATAAGCTATACTTATTTCTATAGTGTAAGCGCTACTAACCTAACTCTTACTAGAATAGGTTAGGTTAGTTAGAGCGTCTAAACCTCTACTAAGAGCGTTCTAACGCCTACTATAGATAAAATAATAATAACTAATATACTTACTAGAGTACTTCTTTACTACATAACTCTTAAGATGCTTAGATAGACTATAACTAGTTCTTCTAGAACTTAGGCTAGTTATACTCTCTACTAGCTATCTTTCTACTATAGGCGCTAAATCTATATAGATCTGCTTTACTAGATTCTAATATCTTCTTTCTACTACTACTAATAGTAGCTTTAGGTCTACTAGGTAGCGTATATTCTCTAGAGATAGCGCCTACCTTATATAAGATACCTAACATTACTAAGTTTTATAATAATACTAACTAGAACTATAAGTAATAGCGTAAGATAGCTATTAATAAGTACACTATAATATCTAATAAAGCTCTTTATATTATCTACTTAAAGTAGTATATTATAAGTAATATCTAGCCTATTATTAAGAAGATAAAGGCTACTATATATATAGATTACCTTAACACACTAGATAGAACTTATCTTACTTATAACTAGTTTAGTAAGGCTAAGACTACTCTTATAGATAATAGTCTATAATAGAAATAAAGTAAGACGTTTACTATATAGTAGGTATAGTTTCTAGAAGTTACTAATATACTCTATATATACCTATAGCGTACTCTAATTAAAAAAGTATATAGCCTAATAAATATACGCCTTAGAAATATAATAGTAATAGTCTTTAATAATTATAAAACTCTAGGTAAGTTTCTCTACTACGTATAAAGTATTAATAAAGTCTTATAAGATATTTATATTAGTAAGATAGCTACTATATTCTCTATAACTATAAAGCTTTATTAATAAGCTTTTAGTAACTACTTCTCTAAGTAAAAGTAGTAGTTAAACTATTATACTAAGCGTAAGGTTTAGAATATATAAATAGTAGAAGATAAGAAGAAGTATAAAGACTATAACGCATACTATAAGTATAGTAAGACTAGATATACTTAGTATAACTAAGACGCGCTCTACTATAGTAAGTCTATTACTTTATCTAGTAAGATCTCTTTTCTTACTACGCTCTATATTAATAATAATAATATACTAGATAAGGTTAATAATATAGTAGATAATAATAAAACTAAAAAGAAGAATTTTTAGATACTTCTAATTAAAATTATAAATAAAAGTAGAACTAGTAAATATTAGCTAAGGCTTTATAACGCTACGTTTAGTAAAGTAAGATCTAGAAGCTAGCTGCTACTTTCTACACTAATAGTAAGATATAGAGAATATACTATATCTCTACTACTACTCTTTATAAACTTTAGACTAATATTAGCTATTAGCTTAAATTTTATTATAGGCTAAAATAATAGAGTAGTTCTTAGTAGAAGAACGCTACTTTAATAGACACTAGCGCTAGCGCTTACTTTATTAGTTAGAACTAGATTAAGTAGTAATAATATACTACGTTTACTATTTCTAAGCTAATCTAACTTACTCTAGCTAATAGTA